CGTGAAAATCCGATACGCTTATCGATTACGCTATTTGAACAACTTCTCTAAATTCACTTGTATGTACATGTAATTCTGCAACAATTAATCTGTCTTGGAATTATGAATGGAGGGTCACTATTCATAATTTCGCGCCAAACGCCACGAGTAAATCTTAGCGCCTTTCCCTTGGAATGTTCTATTAAATAGGTGAGATGGTTAATTCTTTTTTTTTATAATTTTCCTGTTAATCACGAAAGTGGATTATTCCAATTACCTACACTTTCATGAAGAAAGTTGTGTGTTTCAGCGAAAAAAAAATAATGCCTCGATCGCCCTACGAGGGTCAAGGAATAAGATTCAATTATGTTCAATAACTTGCACTGAGAAAAAAAAATGTTTATATGAAGTCAATTAAACGGTCTTTTAAAAATAATTGTCTTTTTTTAAAAAAAAAAATCTTATTGTAACAGTTGTCTTTTCTATTAATTTAATATGACACAAGTGTGGATGGGAAAACAGTGGTCACGTTTTATACTTACTATATACATGTATATTGTATCTTGAAAAACTGTTACTTATAACTACATGTACAATTTAAGCTATGTGTTTCCGTGATGCAAAACAAAAAATAGTAGGTATTGTACTTCATTTGCACATTAATTCTTTTCTATTTCTACTTTGAGAAACAACTAAAACCAATTAAAGAATACGTGTAAGGAGGCCTTGAATTATAAATGTATGCGCAACGTACCTACGCCGTGACAATCCAAGTATTCCTTCATATTTCATTGCTCCTTATGTTACTTTCGTTCAAGCAAACACTCGGCTGCCTCTGTAGACCCCTATTGCGAAATGTCGGAATTGACAGAGACCGCCGCCATTTTGGTCCCGCTTCAAATTTTTTATTGTTAATATCTCGAGTTTGGATATATCAATTTAAAAACAAATTATATATTCAGCCTAATTGAAAAGGTTTCTATTCACCATTTTAATATAATTCAAAAAAATTGAAAAACAAAAAAGTTGAAAAATTCGACTTTTTAAATTCGTCTGCAGTAACGACAGGAAGTAGAGACGACGTACAAAAGATTGCGTCCTGGAAAGTACTAATCCCTGAAAGTTTCACAGTGATATCTTTTACCGTTCTTGAGATTAATCGCGGACAAAATGTCATTTTAAAATCAGAAAATTGTCCGTAACTTGGCACCAGACAGGAATTTCCAAAAAATCTCTCGGATAAAATAACTTCAGATAACAACACATTGTTCCTGCAAATTTCATAAAAATCCATCCAGTAGTCTTCGAGAAATCGCGTGCACAAAATTAGATGTACGGAAAAATAATAAGAAGAAACAGTAGAATCACTATAAGGTCTTCCGTGAAGACGGAAGACCTTAATAATAATAATAAGAAACAGTACAATAACTATAAGGTCTTCCGTGAAGACGGAAGACCTTAATAAGAAACAGTAGAATCACTAGAAGGTCTTCCGTGAAGACGGAAGACCTTAATGATGATATGTAGCCGTGGAATTAATTTGAGAATTGTTTACCGAGGCTTGAATCTACATGGCCAAAGTTTTTGTGTTTACTAGTACATGTATTCATAATCGAAAGGTCGCTCTGATGTGACCCCGAATGGGATGTTAGATGTTTGAGAAGCAGTAGCGGATTTGGAACATTTAAATAAATTTTAATTAGATTGAAATGCATGTTTCAAAATTTAAACATGAGATTTCTTCAGTTTGAAAGACAGGAAGTGCATTTTTAAAAGTTCTCTCTTGGTGGCATCCTATCGTTCTCTGGATGAAAACAATTATGTTGATGTTGAAAATTTAATTGTCTTTCATGCTCTATTGAATCTGAAGTTAGGTAATTGTAAAGCCTAATATAGCAAACAACTAAAAAAAATGACAAATTAAATTCTTTAGAATAATGGATTTGGAGTAGTGTAGAGCTACAGCTGGCTAGTCAGAGAAAAAAAGGATGACTGAGCAGAGACTTTGTAAATGAATTGATATCAAAGAGCTCCAGTTGTGTAGGCTCATCGCGGGTATAACCTGTCAACGAGGGATGCTTACTTCTTCTAGGCAACGGATCCCACCTCTTGAACTTTCAGGAGTCAGCTTTTCTTCTTAAATCGATCATTGATCATTCTGTATTTTTATACAGATACTGAATACTTCCGTTTAGTAATAATAGAGTGGTTTAGTTACAAGTGACGTAACAACGTGTACGCGTAACATTGACGTACACGTTCTATTTGACGTCAAAGTCAATAATATGATTTAGTTATACGTACACGTGTACGTATGCAAATTTCGTGATTGAACAGTAAATTATTTGAACGGCATTGTATTTATTATTTTTAATTTAGACAAATCAATGGTGAAATAGAATTTATACTTACTCTAGTCATAGATATCATAAACTATCAAAAATTATTAAATGTATTGTCATCTTAATGCAGTGAATCGCTCTAAATATTCAGGACAATTAAGCTTTTAATTCTGCATCACTTTAAAATTGGAAGCAATCACAAAAATCATTTATTTGACGATAAAAAATGACCACATTTTGCACTTTGTGGAGGATGAAGGGAGGGGGGGGGAGAGTCCAAAAGAAAACCTTTTGAAAACAATAAATTGTGAAGGCTTAATCATATAACGTCTAGAAAGGAGGCATGGAATAAAATTTAATGCATCAATACATTGTTAAAACCAAATGCTATTTGCACAAAAATAAATCAACTGCATCAAAAAATAAAGAATTTAATTCATAACTTTACCCGTTTACGTCGTACGTGTGGACAGAGTATTACACGTTCTAAACTTGTAGCTACACGTCGGATTTGACGTCATGACGTCGAAGAACACAACAATTGATGACGTCACCCGTACAAGTTCGTCGCAAAACGTGTAACTAAACCTCTCTATTATGAACTACTACTTGTACGGGAAGACTGGCGAGTAAACAAGATTATCAAGCTTTATGAAATGTACTTTAATATTGACTTTTCAAACAAGTAAATGTTCGAATAAAGTAAATTGTATATGAGAATCATTTAAAAGAAGTCTTGCACAATATGTCTAGATAAGGACATAATGTGTATTTGCCATATACTCTTCATGCAATATTGCTCTCAAATAAAACATGTGAAAAGGAAAGTTGTCTAATCAAAAAATACTAGTATTTAAAAATTCAAATGTACACTTAAAGTCAGTGTAACTTAAGAAGTTATCAGTGTCACTTTCCTCAATATGTCGGTTAAACAATATACACTGATTTCTTTTCTATCAGTGTGCCTCTAAACACCTGTATCTTAATTTAATTCTTCTCAAACGCTCAAAATAATGATCGACAAACTGGACAAATTCAAATTTAAAAAGTATTTTCACAGCTAATAATACGTTCCCTCGGAATTGATCAAATTTTCAAAACTTAAAAATAAACATTTTTAATCAACCATACAGAATTACCGAAAAATAAGACAAAAGAGAAAGACTGTATTATTTGTCCGGAATTACCCCGTGTCCAGAATTGGACGGATCTCCCCTAAGTATAAATTTTAAATTGTTGCTAATTGCCAAGATTTTTCATACCTCATTCTTTTGTGAATAATAATATCGGTTGATTTTTAGAAGAGGGTCACAATGCCGATTAAAATTAATATGTATTTATCCATTTTTTTTTTTTCAAAATTAATTTTACTACTTTAAGTGCCCCATTATTTTTTTCAAAACTAAAAGTAAGTGATCCCTTATGATCGTTTGTACATGTAATAAATTATCAAAGACGGAGCAGAGAATTTACCCCTGGGAGCTGAGCTTTTAAAACTGTTTATTAGACAAGAGAAGAAAACAAACGTTTCATTGTGGAGGCAATCCTATTGTTTCCATAAAAACGTTACAAAAAGTGTAAAACTTGCAGATGTATTCGGTGTTTTTATAAAAACGTTTTTCAGGTATGACTTGACTTAATAAATGGTGTTTCTTAATACTTTGGCAAGGAAAATCAAACTCGATCGAGAGATTTGCTGATGTTTTTGCAGTCTGTAATAACCTTCAACCTGCTGTATAACTAATCGTATCGTTCAACTTTCAAAAATAAACTAACAGTTGCTATAAATCGCGATCGCACTATGTACATGTAATAAGGACGAAATTCTCAGTTCTTTGAAGTTAGTGTTCTAAGTATTGTCAATGCTTTGGTAAATACTAATAAGAATTCGATAAAATCGTTATAATAGCCACTCTTCGTACACAGCTTATTGTCAATCTTTCACCAGGGGGCGTATTACGCCAACAGTATACAAATCATAGGAAGCGCTTTGCTGAAGTTACCGTTGTCGATAGGTAGCGCCTTGTGGAAGTTTCCGGTTTTGGTTGCAGAAGGATAAGGTTACGTGCGATAAAGCGATGTCGATAGGTAGCGCCTTATGGAAGTTTCCGGTTTTTTGGAGCCCATGCCATAAAGCGGTTAGCTAGCTAACCGCTTAAAAAAGTCATCACATTAGTAAACAAACTATTGCACATGGCAATTTCTGTTTACCATTCCCTCCAAATGGGGATTTTTTAAAGGTGAAATTGAATGTCCCATATATTGCTTCTGTACGTGTGATCATTCGACATATACTCTTTCTTGGCACCTGATGCCACCTCTGATAATTTTGAAGGTCTGGTTAATATTTTTTGGATGGACTTTTGATAATTATTACTGTTCGTTATTTCTGTATTTATACTGTATTACAGTGTAATTTTTTTAAAATAGGCATAATAAGTTCTCTTATCTTTCAAAGTTTTGTTTCTGATGATTTCAAAATTAAACAATTTAACCAGTCACCCCCACCCCCACCCCCCGATTGGGGAGAAAGCCTTAATTTTTCCATTTACAACCGTTTTATCGTATTTTTTGTAATCAAGAAAATTTGAAATTATGTAAATGCTCTAGGAAATGTTCATGCTGTATAAGAGTTATTTAATCAAACTTTTAAGGAGTAATACAGAGTAAAATACTTACCCAAAAAGCAACAAAATACCAGCAATGACCCATGTCAGTGTTCCCGTTTCGTATGTTGTGCTGGTGGTAATCTCTGCGCTGCAGTACTGACAGCGCATGCGTACAGGAAGCTCCCTGAACATGTGTATGTTAGGTTGGTGATGATGCATAACAACGGTTGTAGCTGTAAAAAAGTTTAAAAATAATAATTTAATAGAAAAAAACGGTAACCTAACAAAACTTCATAAATGAAAAAATGTGATTTATATGTATGTAGCAATTTTCTATTATCACCTGCTTATGGATTTTATGCCTCTCAGTTGATTATACAATATTTACAAAAGCATGCTCTCTGTGCAAATACTTTCTAAACCGTGATAATCTTTTGACAAAGAAGTTGATTAAACACAGATATCAAACAATCCCGTTTTACGTCAACATTTTGCAAATTCTGTGGTCAGTTCAATGAACTTTCTGCAAATAAAACATTATTTGCTTTTATTAGAATGCTGATTGACGATTTTCAGACACATTGTTAGGAGATTATACACACATTTAAACTGGACATGTTTGACCAGTATAGACAGGGATACTTATTCCTCCACGGCAGTTCATCCCACTCTTATGATTTTTAAAAGAGATCCATATTTGCACTGCTCCCAATTTGTTATGTTTTAATGGAGTTTTTTTTTTTTTATTTGTAAGTAGATGTAAGTCTAACGTTGATTGACGACTGTCATAGCAATAATTTATTAGATCATTAACTTCAAGCTAAATTAGATTTTTATGTTTATTCTACTATGACAAGGGAATCGCTACAATTGTGACCGGTTAATCAGGATGCTTACTTTTTCATTGCCTTCGATATTTGAAGAAATTATCCTTGTGTTCCTCCCTCAAAATTTATTAAAATTATATTTACCTTTGATCATAATTAATTGATTTCGAAATATATTTATGTAATCTAAAAAAATTCTTGTGCAATACTTTAAATTCTGTTTGAATCTGTTTGATATGTTAAATTCAGCTTGAAATCGATTTTTTTATCCATTTGTATAAAGGTTTTTAAACTTCTTTTTAGATAAGTTTAACCGCAAGTGCTATTGATTGAACTTTGCTCTGGCCCGAACTCAAATAAGATAGTATTTCCATGAATGTATGCATATGCACAAACATAAAGTTGACAAAAATATAAGCATCGTATCTTTTTTTTATAAATATGAATCAAAATATTTTTTTTAAAAAAGGAAGGGTGTGATCTCAATCAATAAAATTAATTATTGAAGGACAAAATTTAGAAAAAAAAATTCTTTTATGCTAAGTATCTGTGTGTTCCATATCATGTCTTCTGATTTCGCATTATTTATCGTTGTAATGCATTAACTATGGACTTATACCTTTTGATTTAATAACCCATTTGCCTTAACAGAAAATCATTTTCCTGAGCAAAATGAAACCCTAAATACATGTATCTCGAGTACAACAAAAGAACAGATTTGTTTTTGTATTTATAATTTAAAATGGTAATTAAATTTACATACCTGGATACGTTGCCATTGTTAGGAAGTTTTGAATCTGTGAAAGACAGCAAACTTAAATCAAGTTAACTTAACACAAGACAGGATGTAATCTCAGAGTAGAAATTGTATTGCAAAACACAGAGTAAATAGCTCACATGACTCCTTCCGCAAATAGTTCTCTGACCTCATAAAATGTTTTTGTGGTTGTAAGTTTGCAGAGGATTTGCTATTCAAAAGACTCTTCTAAACTTTACTGATATATATAGTGTTTTTCTTAGGTTTAAATATCCTTACTGTGTCCTTATCAAAAAACATATATATCAGTTAATTTGGCTTTGGTCCACTCTAAGAAAACAATAAGGGACACATGCAGTTAAAAAGACCGAAAGCACTAAAAATTTGGTATTATGTAGTTTATACTTTTGTTGGTTGAAAATGAAAATTATGCATATATCAAATTCCTCAATTATTAAAACATGGTACGGTCAACTTTGTATGTAAATTTTCGGAACCCATATCTTTATTTCTCTTCCAGAAATGCTCAAATGGAGAACCTCGACAATTTACAACTAGGGGGATAGGTCATCACTTTTTTGTAAAATCTCAGATGCATACTCTTCACTAAAAGAGGGAGAAACTTCAGTAATATGGTGCAGTATGATGCAATAATTATATTCGAGAAGTGATGATAATCAGATGTGGAAACTTCAAACTTCATTAATTTTTGGAAAATTTGAAGTCGCAAAAAATTGACCTAAATCAAAACCTTAAAACTTAAAATTTTCTCAACTTATAAACAACCATTCCCCATGACAAATTAAAGCCCAAGATTTTTGACATCAATGTTAGCTGCTATTTCAATAAATATGGGACTTTTTAATTTATCTACCTTGTCATTGGTTATTTGTAAAATCATTTTGATTAAACAAAATTCTGACTGTATACACAAATTGATATTAAAAAGATGCTTTGAGTTCCTGATTGACATTATCGATGTGTGTGATTTTTTTTTAGATAATCTTGCAACAAAATGTTAGAATTCCCACGGTTACTAATTTCGCCCTGATATTGGCTGACCTTTTTGTTTTAATATGAAGCAGTTTTGTCCAAAGTCTAGTGCATGAGAAGAAGAGAGTACTTGCTGTGGCCTTTAAATGGACTTTTGGCTATATCGACAACTTATTATCAATTAACAATAGTTATTGCCAGTGAGCTTAAAATAAAAGATGCCACTGAGTCTGACACATCATGGATATGCTTCAAATTTGGATATTCTATTGAAATGATGATTATAGTTAATGTTAATTGCTAACAACAAAGCATTCTGAATAACATGATTACTTCAACTTTTCAATGTCAACATCCCTTACTCTTGTGACAATATATCCTTCTCACCTGCATACGGGGTTTATAAATGTATCTCTCAGCTGATTCGATACACAACAGCTTGCTTTATGTACCAACAATTTCTAAAGCGAGGTAAAATTTTCAACAAGCAAGTTTAAGAAACAAGAATATCAACAGTCTCGTGTATAGTCATCATTTCAACGATTCAACGATTGAAAAGATGACCTTTTCAGCAAATACAATTCCTATTTACGTCACATACTGACTTAAGTATTTCATATTTATTATTTAGCCAATTTTCACACATTGGATTGTCCTTTATTATGATAAAAAGGAACATAAGAAGCGATTCTTCTACATTATATTGCACCTTTTTATGTACAATTTATCACTGCATTTGTGGACGGAATATCTTGTAGAACAAAATATACAAGATGCAATGTATGGCAAATAGACATAAAGATTGTCATTTACAGGACTAGATATTTAAAATGACATGTGATTTACATTATATTTTGATCGTTTGGCACATTAATTTCAAATTTGAATCTTGATATACAGTATGATAAACGTTGATATCATACATCTTTTATGTCAAATCCGGTAATATCTTCCAACTTCCTTTTTGCAGTTTGGACAAATGTGGGCAATATCTTTACACCCGTCCAAGCAAAATGGAATGAAACAACATCCGAGGAACAGCCTGAAGAAAGAAGTATAAAAATGTTCATTAAATATTTTATTCCTGAGGATGATATATAAAGCTCTAGTAAACTATCATATCACCTTATATCTTATGATGAAGAATTCCAATCATGATCTTTAAGAACGATTTTTATTGATTATTTTTGTTTTGTTTTGCTTTACTAAATTCAGTAAACTTTTAGTACATTTATATAAATGAGAAACAAAGATCAGAAAAATCCCCCTTAAGTATCTTGGTATTTTTATCAATTTAATGCAAAAATTTCATCTAGATGAATATCAGAGCAACGGACTCAGTCAAAATTAATTTATATTATTTACTATAACTCAAATGTTTTAAGTTTTAGAATTAAAGAAGCCAAATAATTTATAACAAACACAGCCAAGTATAACTAAGATGGCCGCGTACCCAATAAACATTAAGAAGAAACACATGATCCAGGTGAGCGTCCCGGCCTCGTACTCCAGACTGGTCAGTATACTGCTACCACATTGTGGACACTCCGTGTGAACCGGCCATTCTTGGAAAATTGGGTTTCCCTTCTCTTCTGGTTGGATTATAATTGTGGTCTTTTCTTCAAATATAAATACATATCCAATTTTATTTTGACGCTTTTGAAACTATTTTTTAAATTTTTGTTTAGATTTATGTTTAATTTTTTTTTTTTTTTTTTTGAAATTTGGGCGTACATTGTAAGGTGGGAAAATTTTAATAATACATACTTATATTTTTTTAAACGATGCTTTTTATATTGCATTATATAATACGTGTAAATATATTGTTGTATCGCTGAAAACATTTAGTTTGATAGTCCATCTTGGTGTGTTCATATTTTCAATGTAAAGGTACACCGGTTGTTCAAAATGTTTAAAGGCACATGTGTATATTTAAATACACAACTGTATTTGGCATTGAATTATGTGCAGAGGTTTTTAAACAGATCGATCGATTTTTTTAAACGGCAATAGAAATCATTAGTTCGATTGAAACAAGGAAGTAGAAACTTTCCTAAAGTTTTCGGAAGAAACTAAAAATACGTTGGATTATTTGTATGAATTGTCTGCAAAAAGGAAGGGGGTTACGTATTGTGGTTTCGAAAACTAAAAGAAATGATTTTATATAAATAAAAAAAATGAAACCATAAGCATAAATGAAAAACGTAATCGAAAAAGCTGTGAAAAACCTACCTTGACTGTGACTCATAATCTTTTAGATCAGTTCCAACATTGCAGTCAAATGATATCAAATTCGAATTTGTAGAAATCAACAAAACTCGATATATACGTTTCAAATCAATTACGTTGACTTAAATCTGTAAAATTATAGTTCGTATTTAAAGGTAGACCATAATTGTTAGGCTATATTTTAAAGCTTTTGTGTTTACCGGATATCGATCGGAATTTTTAGGTAACCCATGGTATATATATAATGCTTGTCTTACATGTGCAGTTAAATGTACAAAATTCATAAACTCAGTGCCCTCGGTAAAGAATTGAATGATAATAAATTGTTTCGAAGACAAAACAACTGAACAACAACAGCATTGTCAAAAAGGCAGAAATTCAAAACGAACTGTGCTTTGTTTTGAAAAGATCAACTGAATTTAAAACATCATAAATCTTTGGTACAAAAAATGATAGAGCTAACACCGAGTCATAAAAGAATGCCATTTTTACCTTAACTGTAAAAAAGGTAGAATATCCCCATGGACATAGTAAGTTTTGAATTTGAGAGGTGTAAGGAAATGCAGTTTACATCGAGATAATAAGCTATCATTTTGTAATTTGCACTATATCCACTACAATATGAAAGACAATTCATCTTTCTGTTCCATACCAAAACAAAAAAAATAATCATATCACTGAGGGTAGTCAAAATAATACTGACTGTCATTTCTTCGCGGAAAATCGTGGCCATTGACCCCTTACCTATGAAAACAATGTAATTTGATTTTTTTTTTCTAAAAAAAAAAAACAACCAAAAACACCAAAATTTCTCCTATCCTAGGATTCTCTTACAAAAAATAACAATATATTCTCTTTAAAGAAGAGAAAATTAAGCTTGCTCACAATAAAAATTCATCTCTACGTGTAGCCCCGATTTAGAACCAATCCATGGCAGAAGTATGGAAAAGTACCTTATCGTTTTCATGCCATTGTACGATTCCCTTTGGGGTTTTTTTTAATGCAGAAGTTATGCTCTGTATTTTTTTTAACTTTATCCTCAGCATCAGCAAAACATTGTCATAATACTTTATAGTAAAATTAGTGTACACTTAATTCTGAAGTATTGTTTGCAAATTAAATATTTATTTTTAGCGTCAGTAGCTATACTCTTTTTTTTCAAAGACAGTCCCATCCCAAATAAACTTTTCCCAGATTTTTAAAAGGAACCTAATATGTCAATTTAACATATATGAAGGTTTAGAAATCAAGGTCAAAAGCCTTTTGAAACAATACAAATCGTAAGCAGAGAAAATACAAACATCTAAAAACAGAAAAGGTGGAATCAGGTGCAATAGAGAAGTAACAGCTCCTGTCTACCGGTTACACCCAACATGTACTAGTACTCCTTGTCATGATCGGTAAAACAATAGCCTAAAATTAGCATTTAGAACGTCTGGTCAGATAGCATTTGACTTAACAATATACTTTATATGCTGACAAGTCCATTGTACCGACCAACTCGCACAATGACTTAAAACGAGACTCTAATAATTGATATCTTTGCTAAATAAAGTTGTTTGTCAATAGCTTCCCTCGTTTGATCGTTTGTTCGTATTTAATGTCCCTCTCCAGAATTTTTCAATCATACGAAAACGTCTACACTTGCCAAATTTATAACTATACTTGGCAATCAGGGCTATATTGTGCAGTTACCGATCATTTTTCATGCCAACCACTTCTGCGCCCTGGGACCTCGGTAATCTCATCCGATGGACCTATTTGTTCGTATGTAAAACAAAATCCTAGTAAAATATAAGAATTGCTAGGTAAAACAGGAAAGGCATTTTAATAAAAACAACACTAAAATGTACAACAATTATATCAATTAAAACTCAAACAAATATGTACAATGATTTTAACAACACATAAAAGGTTATTTATTGTTAATCAAAATAATCATTATCAAAAAAGCAATTCAAAATATTCTATGCTATTTACATCACATGAAGTAAAATTTTTAAAATGATATTGTTCAAGTTTTTCAAGAAAATTTATGCACACAATTTTTTTTGGATTTGATTTCCATGGCACGGTTGACTTCCGCTTTAATGTTTCTCGACTTCAGTCAAATTGTCTATGATTGGTTGTATCGCATAACCACGCCTACATCCGGTTGTATCGTGCAATCACTTGGTGACAGTTGGGACAGGTATGTATCACGTCTTTGCATCCGTCAACACAAAACGGAATCAGGCAACATCCAAGCCAGCATCTTAAATAGAAGAAATAGAAATACTAAAAACAGACACGTACGTGGTTCAGAAGTCCCAACCTTTTTTTTTCTTATTATAACCTTTTATTTGTGAAAATGTCCCCCTTTTGTTTGCTAAATGAACTCATGGTAATTTGTTAATGTATAAACAAGATCTGGTTCGAAGTTATTAACCATCACCATCACATACAAAATGAAACTAAAATAAGCCTAAACAGATTCGCATTTGCAACTGATTAGTATTATTAAACACATGATATAACCAAAACTTTTCAGCTTTTTATATTTCAAATGCAAGAAGATTTCTCAGACTTTAAAAAAATTGTTTCTACATAAAGTAAAGCGTTTGCTTTATACATACCCAACAAAAGCTGTTATTGCGCATGCCAACCACGTGACAGTGCCTGTTTCATATGATGTGCCCGTCAGAACATCGCAACTGCAGTACTGGCATTTTACGCGCACTGGACTTTCACGGAACAACTGTACGGCCACTAGAGGCTGTTGTCCAACAACTACTGTTGTTTCTGTAAAACAAATAAATTAAATTTATAAGGTATATGGATCATTGATATTTAGATTATAAACTATGAAGTATACTTTTAAAAAAGTGGGTATCAAAGGAACTTATTGGGTATCATTGATATCCATCTGGTATCCTTGAACCTTTTTGTGAGAATATTGCCAGCATTAAGCGAAATATTCCTATTTCATTTATATTGATATTTATATGGTATATATCAAAGTACAAAACTTTATCTTTGAAGTCCAGAATAAAAAAAAATTACTTTAGGCATAAAAAAGTTGTTGATGTCTACGAAATTCACTTTTCGATTTAGTCAGTTTTTTTCATTATCGAAGTAAGTTTTACTTCTTAAATAGAACAACTTGTTACACACGATTCCATGCGAAAATTAACCTATAAAATGATAATCATAAAACTGAGGACTGCATTACATGTAGTTACAGCCAAGATACCCAACTGTTTAAGTCCGGGAACTATAAATCGAAAAGCTAGACAAACAGTCATGCTTAAGCCAGTCATGCACAAGTCATGCTTAAGCCAGTCATGCACAAGTCATGCTTAAGCCAGTCATGCACATATCTAGAGGGTGTTGGGGTCCAGAATGTACAAATAAAAGTAATATAAGTAACTTAAAAATGACCTTGCAACCCCTGAAAATTGTGGACACCCTTGTTTGGATTTTGGTGAATTCAAAGTATAAAGGCAAGGAAAACGACTTAAGGTCATACGCAACGTAGTTTGAACTTTATTGGGTTCTTCCCTGGAGTTAGAGTTCCACTTAATAAAGAACTTGTGTGGAGTGCTTTTAATGTCTATATATGGATTTGTATACTTCTAAAACAAATTTTGATGGAAAAAAATCTTTGAATAATGTTTTGTCAGAATTTGATATCTTCCAAAAACCCACGGTAATGCATACTGATTTTTTGTCTATGAACATCTGATGGCACTATAATCTTAAATTAAGAATATCTTGAAAAATTATCAGTAGGTAAGGTACCTTGCGTATGTCCTTAAGACCCAGAAATCACTTTAAAAAATTATGTTTGGGAAAGATGTTTACTTTTATTCTACTTATTAACTTCTCGAGTTGGAATTTTTGTAGGTCGGGATAGAGCCCCCTCCCCTGACTTTGGAAAAATCCTGGATACGCGCCTGCAAGTATCCCATTCTTTTTATAGGCAAGACATATTTAGAAATTCTTATGTACACATGTATAACAAGTGCGTTTTACTCTTGACCTCAGAGATAACATATACTGACGATTTGTTGTTAAATATAGATTATTTGTGGTAGGGTTCAACTTGGACTCAATATTGAACTTAATGTATTGATTCTACAAAGCCTGATATCAGCACGAAGAAAACAAAAACATACATGATACCTGCGACCGTATTGTGTTAACAACATTTTAATATCACACATTTTCTGTGTGCTTTCATATTCAGAAATAACGATTTTTATGTATTTTGTTTTGTATCGAAATTCTTTGCATATTTTAACTGCATTCAACCACAAAGATGAAAAGATGAAATGATCTTTCGTCATTTATTTTAATATATATTAATTTGATTTTTAATTCGTATACTATTGTGTATGTATTGAAAATGCTTACTAAATCAAAAAGATTCTTTTGTATCTACGATACTTATGTGACATCACTAGGGTTATTTACTAATGGTAAAATAATATTCTTAAGTGTTTTTTTTTTACGACAAACTAGAAAATCTTTGCAGATTCAACCAAAGGTTAATTAAGTATACCTTAAAACTAATTAAAAAATATTTAAAGTTAACATTTCTACCTACACTACTTCAAAAGAAAACTAAAAATATTTTAAACTTCCTGGAACGCAAAACGACATTTTAATTTATCAATCTTTTAATATTTGCTCTAAAACAGTATGACCTACTTTATGTTTTACTTATAAATTTCAATAAAATTTAATGAAATTAACTTACGTCCAACGGCAGAGTACGGTGGGGGTGGGGGATTGGGATTTGAATATCCTCCTTTTTCCATCTTTAGATCTCAAATATGTTCACTAAAATCTTGTTCTTCTGACGGTTTTATCTTTCTTGTACCCAAGGTAGGTTAGGCAATATCGGTGACAAAAATAAACTATCACGTCATATGGCTGGCTGATTTTGCAATAAAGGATTTCATTTACATAGCCCTCTATACGAAGTTCCGTTATCGTCGATAAACAAGTCATGATATATATATATATGTGTGATAAGAATTTATTTCAGATTTATTGTGTGTATATTTATCAAAACATGTTACGTAATGCTTATTCTATAAATATATCACTTACATGTACCGATTTTTCTGTCAACTTCGGCCAGTTGATCGAAATCCAATCTGAATATTTAAACACACTTTTTGAGCCATTGATGTTTTATGATATTGTTAAGTAAATGAATTATCATTTTAGTTTTTTTTTTAAATAACACAAAATTTTATGTCACAAATGATTCTCCATATGGTATACACATTGGAAAACCATGTCATGGGACTTCATACGTCATAATCACGTGTGGGGACAATGTAATAATATATATCAAAGAGTATTGTGTATTCAATCCGTGTACAAATTTAAACAAAAAGCTCGTATATCTTTATGGCAGGTGTTTTTTTACATTGTATTTTAAAAACATTTTTGAATGAGAGGGATCAAATTTCAGTGAACATAATCGGGAAAATGATGTGCACAATGTGTTTCAAGTATTATTTCCAGCCTTATGCTCTACTTGTTCTTTACAGATATTTCTTGATAGTCAGGTATATAAAGAAATACCTTGGTGTTTATCAACGGTATTGATTTTATATACACCTTGAAACGTGGAGCATTGACAAAGTACATATCACGAAATCATATTAGAAGATGCCACACAGTAACCATGCTTTATTAGCATTAATTTATTAACCGTCCAATTAAACAATAGAAACTATGAGCAGAACAAACAAAGGGCTTTTAAAAACAGAGGTGGGATAATCTAATTAAAATTAGATGTTAGATCCGTTCGCATACTCACTTCACTAAGGAAGTATGCGAGTGGATCCAACATCTAATTTTAATTAGATTGGAGGTAGGATAAAGTACCATGGAGGAGTAAGCATTCCCTGTCGACCGCTTCATTCCAGTTGAGTGCCCTTGTCATTATTGGAATTACAAGAAATTTGGTTGACAATTCATTGTGAAAATAATGGCCTAATATTTTGTATGAAAGGTATTGAAACGAATATTCCCATATATGTACATTTATTTGTTATAATGTACATATTCGCTGCATACCTTGAGTTTTACAGAAGCGAAAGGTATACATTATGACATTTACATGATTTTGTATCTATCGTCCGCACTAACATAGCTTTCGTGATAGTTTGCAGAAGGGGGTATCGATTAAACCCCGAAAATGAAAATTGCTACTTCATTTCTAGAGAAAAAAAAATGGGCTTGTCGTGATGTGACAATCAATTCTCGGAAGAAAGCCCACACATTTTTTTCAAGCTAAGAAAAAAGCACGATAGTGTCCATCGTTGTTTTTAAACAAAATAGTATCGATATAATTTGTGAAATGTTGACTTAAGAAAAAAATTTATATATTTGCATTGTTGGCTTATTTATCATTGGCTTTTCTCATGTTAGAAACTGTTTTTTCGATTCAACTATGAAACATAATCCCATATATGTAATGGTATTTGCTAAGTAGCAATAAAGGGAAATTGACCATGGAAAAGTTGTATATATATGAATCATGTTAGGTATAAAATTTAGTTGTTACTTTGCTATCAGTTTTTTCCTTTTCTAGAAAACATCCAACCCATTGGTTTAACAGATGTTTCAAATTTTGTGGTGTCTTTCATTCGAAGTACTATAGAATTGTTGAGTGATAGAACGTGTCAGATCTAAATGTTGAATGAAATGGAACAGCAAGATACTTCCATTTTCTTAGTAGAAGACACTATAAGTTTTTGAATACATTCTTCTTTTCTAAATCTGCTAACAGTGGAGGAGTAAAGTCACATGAAATTGATTAAGTTGTATTAATTGTCAATCCCTTTTGATGAAAAAAAAAATTGGTTTGAAATAACAAAGCAGTTTGAAGCTCTCATTGTTAATTTATTTGAATACCTGATGCAAAAATAATTGAATAACTATACATGTTTATAAATAGGAATAATTTCAGAAAGGAAAGTTTCAGCTTGGAGAAATAATATGGAAAATCTTGAAGAATAACAATAAATTAAACATATGACAATTGTTCCAAAATTACAATTTTTACGAAGGACTAAAGGTAAAACTGAAAGGATGCCTCTATCTTCACATTCAGTTGTTCAAAAGTAGAAAAAAAACTTTTAATTTCTTTTTATAGGATTTAGTGTGATGATTTCTGTACATGTTAAAGTAAAAGTTGCCCACTTTCTACAGATATCAGGTATAATTAAACAGAATTTTACGTCAACATAAAAATTGCATTTAGTGAGGTAAAAAAATATTAAAAACTTGTAGAAACTTGTTCAAATGGCATAAATTTAAATTGTAAAGAATCAAATAATTGTTACTTTAAAAATATCTTTAAATATTCAATATAAAATAATTCCTTATTCATAATAGCGCTAGCATTATGCAAATTAAATTGAAAAATTCTTCAATAAAAATATAGGCGAGTTATTGCAGTCTATGCCAATTTTGAAGGACGAAATATGAACGAAATAAGCTTTATTTTAATTATTTTAGTTGAAATCATATTTTTACTGAACCAATCAAAAACTACTTCTACAAAAATTTTATTTCTATCGAATTGAATCCAATTAACAACAAAAAAATAGTTATAAAACAAACTACCATGTAACGTGAAGATGGAGAAAAGTGTTTGTGGAACTTAGTAACAATTTAAAAAAGAAAGAGAAAAGGCGTGCAGAACGTTGATATGTCTCAGCATTCACAATATTTTTCTTGTTCATAAATACATAAAATACAAAAAAAAAACCCAAAAAACGTGTTCAATAACATTTTGCAAAAATATTTTAACAGTATTCGCTTCATAATTATATCTACTGTTTGTTACAACAAATATGGACAGAAAAGGGGAATATAAATTTCACTGAATGCTCTTAGATTATTATATATTAATTTGTTCATTATTCTTTTCTTGGCGAATGTCGTCAATAATTGTGTGATTATTCATCACTGTTTTCTTTGGGGACTGAATCCTCCTTGAAATTCTCAGGCTCAGCAATTGGTGCCCTATTAAACTCCTGGAACACTAAATCGTCTTCCATCATGTCTTCACTATAATAAATAAAAAATAAATTCATAAATAAAAAAAATTAATTCATCAATTAAAAAATTAATTCATCAATCAAAAAATTAATTCAATAGGTCATTCTCTTTATATCAGCTTCATCGCAGAAAGGATACATCTTGGAGTTATCTCTTATACTTCCAAGTTCAACTTTGGGTAACTTTTCAATTGCTGGTACATGTAATAAATTTAGTTAACATTTTTTTTAAATTATAAAATGATAAAACTACAAACAGACATTGTGACATAATAATTATATGTACAAATTTTTTAATTATATCACTTTATAATAGACCAGGATTTTTTTTTTTAGGAACATGCTTTTCCAGAACATAGTTTTTAAAGTAAATTAGTCAAATGATTTTTTTTTATTTCTATCGACAGTTCTACCTAGGGATAACTGTGTCGTCTGCCACGGAACTTCGGAAGCTGCTGGTCCTTGAGGGATGATCTGGAATTGGGTGAGTCAAGGTAAAAGGCAGCTCTAAAACTACGTCACTGAAACCAGCAAAAACAAATGTAATAATTGTCATTGTGGTTGTTTTTATTTTAATAACCATATTTTAGATATAACTAAACCATGTATTCTGAAGTTTCCTCTGTGTTTAGTTTTAAAGTACAAGTGTTACCTACTCTTTTCCTTTAATTTGGGGGACTAATAATTGGCAATTTTTTAAATCATTTTTTTTAATTAATTGAAAAATTTATTTTTCTATTATTTTCTTTAAATTAGTATACTTTATTCGAATCTAGTATCATTAATTAATTGTAAGATGTCACCAAAAAGAACAAGTTGTAATAAGAAACAAAGAAAACCTATTGATTTATCTCTCTTAGGAAAGCGATTTCTATCCAAATATTGTCTAAGAAATTCAAATTGTCGCATAAACGTTCAGACTTTAATTTCTTATCTAAGTAATACTATTATGCATTAAAAACTTACGAAGATCCAAATCCCAGAACCAGCTTGATAACCACCTTGTAGGCCACAATAATACCAGAGTTCTCCTTCTGTAGGTTCTCTGACATCCTGTAAGGACACAAGATTCAATAAATATATCGTCAAAAGTGAACCGAATTAACCATATTATTTTTCTTAGACGACTTTATAATAAAAGAATAGCTCTGTATGTTTCAATGTTTTCTTTATATAAGAAAACAAAATAATTTTATGAAAAGTAAAAATTCGTGGAAAATGACAACGTTTTTGAGAAAAACAATATGTCACAGAGAAGAAATTTTAATTTAAGGCTAAAAAATTCAACATATTTTCTATTTTTGAAAATTAAAAAAAATCTTACATGTAGACTAGAAGAGAGTTTTATGTTAAAATCTTGCTTGCGAATATGATGTTTAGTTTGTAAACCCTTTCTAGAAAACAATTCCATGTACATATTTAAAAATTGCTAAAATTCTACTCTCTTTCACTTAGGTATAAAACTTGGCCATCTCTTTTATAGGATGACATTTTCAAATATACCGAAAATTTACACTTAAGGAGCTAGCCATTAGTTAGATTTGTGTAAAAACTGACTTGGTGGAGCACGCTAGGTTTGTGTCTTCGTGCTTCAGTTTGCCGTCTATAGCCAAACCCCTCTTGTCTCTGTTGTTCTCTATTAATGGTGTGAGATGGTACATCCTACAAAACCCTGTCTGACCAGCCCTGATAGGGAATCCCTCTCTGGAAACCGAAAGTACAAATCGAAAGTACAACAAAACTCACAATTCTGCCAAGGATTTGTACTATAAATGATTTTTTTAATTTGAAAGGATGAGGAATGGGAGTATTATTTTTAAAAACAGTAGGGGTATATGGTGAATAGATTAAATTCTTGTACTTACTGAAAATTTTGATCAGGAATTTTAAGCTCTTGTTCTTCTTCACAAAGCACATGTAGGGTTACCATGGTCTTTTGAACAACTGAAGGAATGAGTTATGGATAAATTAAAGCCGATTTTAAGAACATCCAAAAGAGATAAATTGGAAGTATTAACGTATGTACATGTACAGTGTATGTAAATCATGATATATTGTATGTTGATTTTTAAGAATTTTGATTGATGATACTGACCTAGGCTATACATGCAAGTTAATTTTGATTGTTTAGAACTTTAAGACCTTGACATGAAACTTTGTGCTGGAGTATATACTTTGTAATACTCCAGTAGTTTTGTATTGTGCTAGTTCATATATGGATTCAAGGAAAACGTAATTTTTGGGCATTATTTCACTTGGTGTCTGTATGGTGAGTAAGTATCATAAATTTACTCTATAGTCCTACTCATAATATGGCACGTTTATTTCGTAAAAGATTAATCACTAGTCCAGTGAGCCATATATATATATATATATATATATATATATATATATATATATATATATATATATATATATATATATATATATATATATATATATATATATATATATATATATATATATATATACTAGTATTCATTCTTTAATTGTTAGTGTTTGTATTAATTCAAGAAACACTGCAAACCCTCGTATAAAAGTACTGATTTACTGTGCGTATATTTTTTTTAAATAATATATACTTTCCTTTTTTGTAACTTCCACTTTCTATAAATACTTTCGGTATGTATATGCAGTAAGTTTATTTTTCTCTCTAATATAAAACATGGAGAAAACGAACAGTATTCAAGCTCAATGTCAATTTAAAAACACTTCTCAAACCATTTTCTCATTTTTATAATCATCTAAAGAATGAAACTATGTTAGTAAGTCTCTGTAAGTGAAAGTGATTTATAATGTTTAAAAAAGCTCATACATTGTTTTATTTTTAAAGATATTATGATATTGCGCAATGTAAATAACAAAAAGAAAAGAACAAGTTTGCGGGGGTGACAGAAATCAAGTGGCACGCACAAAATATGTTGCCTTATCGATCATTTCTTTAAATCTTAGGAATATACACGGAATGGGGATCAAAATAAAGATAATCGATGTAGAAAATATCCGACATGCAATCATCACATTCATTTTATTTTTCCTTTTATCTTACATGGCTTTCTTAGAATCAGGTTTGTTTTCGTGCATGTCATCATATAATCTATCAATGTGTAGGAGAGAGTTAACAAAAGGCTTAGATGATAAATAAACAGAAATATCCAACGTACTCGGATGTTTTTGTCTGCTCCTTTCTTTGCTTATTTGTTTGTTTCTTTGTTATTTGTTTCTTTTGTTTTGATTGTATTGATATCTGTCTCTTACGTTAAAAAAAACCTTATATTATCATTTTAATGAATACATGTACAATATTTTTCGTAAAGTTTCATAAATATCTTTGCATGAGCTCGATTATTGCATTTACGAGTGTGTTCGATTCGTTTACTCTGCATACAATTCCAATTTAATGGTCATAATAATTTTCAGATTAAAGAAAAATATACCATATCTGTTTGAAAGTATTAACTTCAAATTTCTGTGTCAAATTTCCTTCAAGAAGTGAATGACATTACCAGCCAGTTTGATCCTTTTGATGGTTTTATTGGAAGTATTGTCTATCGTAATACGTACATCAACACTTTCCCCATGGTAGTATTTCTGAAAAAATAAATAATACATCTCAGTTATACGATTTCAGAAACTCCAGAGGTTGGTGGCCCGGCTTTGATTGGCTTCAAAATGTCCTTTCTATTTGAATACCAGACAAAAAGGTAAATAATATTTATTTTGCTCTGTATACACTGAAATCTTTTAAATTTAACAAACTTAGTCATTTCGGTGATTTTAAGAAAATGTTTAAATGACCTAGTATTATTCACGATTGATACAGCCTTATTAAAGTAAAACGGTTCCTAATAATTATAGCCTATTACTAAAATCATGCACTGTGGCAATGCACTTTGGAAAAAAAAATTCAAAGTGCGTTAAAATTGGGACAAAATCAACGCACATTTTCATAACTGGTATGATGTTGAAATTTTCAATAGATTTTAGTATATATAAAATGCATGCAAACTGGAAAATTTTAGGCACAGTAAAACATTAAAGAGAGAAAGAATTTTCAAAGTATGGAAAAATCAAAATCGTCCACTTTCACATCCTGAAATGACCTTATCACCGAAACGTTATCCAACAGGTTCAATTATTTATCAAACCTAAGATTTGCAAGAATATTGAAAAAGCCATACATTTTTTTTTCAAAGAGTGTGTTATAATGGTCGATATTAACGCACTTTGAAAACAAATGTTATTTTTTCAAAGTGCGTTGATTTTGTCCCAGATTAACACACTTTGAATTTTTTTTTCAAAATGCACATTTTTTCAAAGTGCGTTGTAACAATGCACCCGATGATAGAAAAAAATGCTATTTATGTTATGAAGTAATGTTTTATTTTTATATTAAATATAATACAGAGACTGTTTTAGTGTGATTCGTTATTAAGAAAAAAACATACTTCCTTCAACAGAGAGGCTTCCAGCTTGATCCCATTTTTGTTTAGTTCTGCTTTCGGTGGAGGGGCCCTTACGTCGCTAGGAGCGTAGGTCAGTTTACGTATAGCCATTCTTACTGTGGTTCTTAAAATGGTAATAAAACTATATATATACCGATGTTGAGTAGCATATAAATCTGGAATATTTTCTAATTTTAACTCTTGAAATATGAAAACATATAATAAATATCTTATAAAATATTAAACGAGAGAGATTTGGGTTTTGAATAAATTAATAAAAGATAAAAACAAAATAGAAACCTATGAACTATCGCTCACCCGAGCACTTTGGTTAGAGATAAGCAATAACCAGTTCGGTACTAAAATATTTAAAGGGTTATCAGACCTGATCCTAATTTATGACTTGGACAAACTTGTTTTCATACAAATACATGTACTAAATAGTTATATTATTATTGAATATATACAGGTGATTACCTGTATATATTCAATAATAATATAACGAATCATGGCTTTGCTGTTCTTGAGAAGATGATATTTAAAAAAAGAAGATATTTCCTGTTTTTCTTATGTACAAATTTGATCCCCTATTCTGCTTCCCACCCTGGCCTCATGGGCAATTTTAAATTTTTAAAAAATGAATCTAAATTGATATGACTATAAATCTATACTACTAACATTGCGTAGCGCAGTGGCTCTAGAACAAAATAAACAAACCCTAATCAAGGATATGCTGTTCATCAGAAGATGACTCTTTGATTTTTTATCGATTTTCTCCTATATAAATTCCTATCATTGCTGTTTCTGAAAAAATACTTTTACACAATTTTTTTTTCTTTTATTTTCAAGGGTGTTTATTCCAACAAACGTTTTTATCTTCAGTTTGTTGTGAAGTTTTTTAAAAGGTTTTTTTTTGTCGACGAGATTTCTTGAAAAAATGCGATTTTATTTTCACTAAAAATTAAGTATCAGTCCTTTCAAGATGGCGTGGCCATTTTTTTCTTTTAAATAATTCGAATTCCCTTTACCCTAGAGTGCTAAGTGGGAAATCAAAATTGGCCTTATGGGGCAGCAGGAGAGGATGAAAATTTGAAAGTTAATTATTATCGACGACAGACAGCAGACAAATTTTGAACAGAAAAGTCACATAAATCTTTGGCTCAGGTGACCTTAAATACATGTAAGGTTATCTATTTTTCATTTATTTTGTAATGTTTACAGTTGCAAATGTCGGGTCGGTCGGCGAACCCGTATTTTCATTCCGAAAAGTTTTAAAATTGATAGCTCATTTTTAATTGTCGATTTCTGTAAACCATCTATTATTTAAGAAAATTTTCTTTTGCAATTGACAGTATAAAATCTTATCGTCGCGGCTTACTTTTGAGTTTTGTAAAAATACTATTATGAAAACAGAATACTAGTATTTCTCGCTCACAAATATATAGAAATTGGTTTCCAGTATCTCCAATCAAGAATTTCAAAATTTTCACCATGACAATTTATAACTCACAGTCTTTCCGGTTTGTCGTCCAGGCTTTCTGCAAGGTGTGTTTTCAGCTGGTAATCGACACCACACGGCTAGATCAGAGAAAAAATATTGATGAAGTTGTTGTCTTCCTAACTCGTACTAACTGTAAAATTCTGTGATATGTAATTGCAAGAGTTTCAAATGATTTATTCGACATTCCCATTAAAGGATGATTCATGTCACTTTTTTTATACCTGTACCATAAAAACCATGGACATTATTTTTTTTTCAATTTTGGGGAAAGGTTAAGCAATCATTTCATATTCCTGCTATTTTTTATGATAATTTTTAATTTATTAATGTTCAAACTAATGTATCCATTACAAAATGACAAATTGAGTGTGCTTAGTCTGCATGTTACATTTGGTTGTAGGATAATGCAAACATTATGCCAACAAGATATCCAGGGGTGCTGAACACTTTTGAAATTAAACGTGTCTCTATTTTTGATTAACCTAAATTATCTCTAACCTGATGTGAATTCAGAGGCTATGAATTCTATAAATTTCTTGTAGATGCTTAAATTATTGTAAAAAGTATTTTTGTTTCTGCTTAATGTCCAGGAAATTTAAACTATATACGTATATATGTATTACATTTCAAAATATAATGAAGTGAGATTTTCCATTGCATTTAGACCACTACTTTGCAAATTTAACAGTTTTTGTAAAGAGTACAATGTTCGTTATCATCTTGCATACATTTTACTGAATTGATGTCCACGAAAAAAAGGTTTAATGCATTTTTAATACATGTATCAGTAAAGTAAACTTAATCCTAAAATAATTGGCCTGAACAGAAGGGATATGATTATCACATGTTATATTGAGGACTCCTTGTTTATTATAATCCTTTCAAAAATATAACTGCTTTACTGAAAGTAGAATAAGTACTATTGATTACAATATTTTGATGGACCTTCCTATCCCTCGGACCCCAGGGAGGCAAAGAGAGAGAGATCAAGAAATTCACCTTTTAATTCTTCTCACCAATAAATGCTTATGTCAAAAAATGTTAAAATTGGTACAGCCATACAAAAGAAAAAGCTGATTTTTGTTCTCAAAAGTTTACTATCGGTGCACGATTACGGACAAATACAGATAACAAAATTTCCCATTGACACTCGGGGGAACCTGAGAAAAATTAAAAGTGTCAGCGTAGGAATTTTTGGAAGCTGTTCACCCTGTGGTAAACATAACTTCTTTCTTTTATATGAACTTCTATCTGAAATAAGTTCATGTTAAAGTAAGGTCAGAATCGTGACTGAAAATTAACTTAAAAGCTATCTCGGGGGATCTTATTTTTAAGATCTTCGTACCACAATTAGATGCAATGTTTTTAAGTATAGTTTCGTGCTCGCAAAGAAACATGTTTGTCATTTTCCATGGAGGCATTAGAAGTCAAACAACATTAAAAATTTAATTATAAATATCCCTGTAGAGATCTGTAGTTATTTTCATGCTAGAAAAGTTCTATTAGAAGAGACATCTGAAACTGACATTCACTAGACTCAATGGTTTTTGTTTGGTTTTCTGCCAAAGATGTTTCTTTTTTTAATTTTCAGTGTGTAATTTGCAACAATCGATAGTGACAAAGCAAAGCGTAATAATGTGTTTGGTCTACAACACAACAGAAACACTTATTTAAGACTATTTTCGCGAGAAATACAAGAAGGCTAATACTTTAATGTCACAACTGCATTAAACTCTTTAATTATCGAAGGTTTACATGCATGATCTTATACTTCTTTTTTTTTTTTTTTTTTACTTTTAATCTAAATTTTATTTTAAAAAAGTAACGTCATAATGACGTCGGTTATATTCCTGCTGTGCCGCCATAGATAATACATTAAGTTGTGTTTATCTTAATATTAAAATACTGTGGAATCATCAAAATTAAAATAATTAAAATCTCTGGGGTCAATTTTCGTGGATTGCTTAACATTAACAGGTTCGTGGAGACGTAATTTTGTGTAATCTTTGATAGATTTTGTAGCGGTTGTGAACAAAACTTTTTTTAATTTTTTAAAAGCATAATCATTAAAAATTCGAAACTTGTGGGTTGATATGTCTTTTTCAATATTTAAATTTACAATAACTTTAAATAGTGCTTCAAGCCCCACTCCCATTTTTTCTAGTCACAATGCATTAACTTTTTTTTTAAATTCAGAAATTTTGAAACAATATTTTTAAGCACTTTTGAAAAAATTCAATTCGAAAAAGTATCTCAAAGTTAAAAATAAATATCTCAAAGTTAAAGATAAATGCATAGATATGAATTTCAAAAGTATATCACAATCATTTAATTTCTATAAAATACTTGATTCTGATTGGATAAAAAATTGTTTTGATAACTGCATCAATAAAATCTAGAGTTCGCTTGCATTAACAGGAACTACTTTCAGTCGGTATATTCCCCCTTAATTACTTTTTGGGAATAATTAAATACCTTTAATTAAATAAATAAATATTTTTCTGAATTTCGAAACCTGTTACGTTGAACATAACCTTTTGATTAACTCAAATCGTCTGCATAACAACAATACAGTTTTGGGAAAGAAGGAAATAAATCGACATACTTTTGTTAAATGTTCGGCTTTGAGATATCTGGTATGAACAACAGAATTCTGAAGAAATGGTTTTTTTTATGCTAAAAGCGGGGAAAACCGTTAGGCCAAATCTGTTCAATCTTGGGAAACGAATGATCGAGAAAAACGACACTGCCTGAATGTGAATTCCTTTCAATATACAGCATTGACAGGTTGTGATACTTATTTATATGTTCGGTTTGAAATTCTTTAAAAAGTGCTAACGTTAGAATTGTTAGGATATTTCACTCCCTGACATTTTTTTTCTGGAAAATATACCCATTGGGATAACACAACAGGTAAGATTTTTTGTGTTCAAGAACTATAAATTATTTCAGAGAATGTTGGTTACAAATGACACGATAATATTTGAGAACGTTTCTTCGTTTGAGCCCTTTTGAATTTCAGCAACGTTAACGTTGTTGTGATGAAGCACTGTTTTTGATGCGTAAAAATTAGAAAGTTTCTTTATTAATTTAAAATCAAAAATTAAAATAAGAAATGATTGTAATATTTTTTTCCATGTATAAAAATTTGGACGGAAAACTTTTTAATCAATGCGCTACGCGCATATAAATTTCAAAAGTATATCACATCACAAGATTTTACCAAAATCAACAGCTTAAAAACTTACGACATTTCAACTTTATACACAACCATTCCCCACGATAAATTAAAATCCAGGCTTTTCGATATCATTGGCAGCTGCCTTTTCAATAAAAAATAAAACTCGTAAATTCACTTACCTTGTCATTGGTCATTTGCAAAATTATTAAGTTAAAAAAAAAAGAAATCTGAAGTTGACATCAAAAAAGATGCTTGAGTTTCTGACTGACAATATCTATGTTGTTTTTGGAGACCAGGTCTTCCAATAATCTATTGGAATTCCCATATGTACCAATTGCACCCATTATTAGCAGTTCTATTTTTGTTTTCATATGAAGCAGATCTTGTGCAAAATCTAATGTGTGAAAAGAAAAAAACACTTGCTGTGGCCTTCAACTCGACATTAAGATGTATCGACCACGTACTGTCAATTAACAATGGTAATTTCATTCTTATGTCTAACACTGTTATACGATATATCCTGGTGAGCTTGAGATAAAAGATAACATAGAGTCTGACACACCTGTTTCATATTTGGATATTTTACTTGAAAAAGACGTTCATGGTAATTTAACAACCAAGCTATATGATAAAGATGATGACTTTAACTTTCCTATCGTCAACTTTCCTTACTTATGCAGCAATATACCCTCATCACCTGCCTAAGGAGTTTATATATCTCAGTTGATTCAATACGCAAGAGCATGCTCTACGTATGAACAATTTCTTAAACAAGGTAAATTATTGACAAACAAATTGATGAAACAAGAATACCAACAGTCTTGTTTAAAATAATCATTTCGTAAGTTCTATGGTCAGCAATGAAATTGTCAGCAAATTCAATTTATCATTGAGTCAATTTCTGACTGACGTTTTTCATACTAATTGTTAGTCTCCATTATATATATACACTGAATGACGGATTTTTCTTTATTTCTCGATCATGACAAGGAGCACACGGCGAGTGTGACCGGTCGGCAGGGGATGCTCACTCCTCCATGGCATCTGATCCCATCTCTGATATTTGGAGGTCTGTGTTTGTCTTTTCCTATTTTTTATTGTTTTATGGACTTTTGATCCTGAATACTGTTCGTTTTCTCCATATGTTTCATTATAAACTTAATGCTGTGATAAAGAATAGAAAGTTTTGAATTTCAACGTCAGAACGTGCGAAGAGAAATCATCTCAAACACCATTACAATAGAAAAAAAGAATTGAATATATCACATCAAGCTATATGACTTTAGATTCATATTATTTTTTCTGATACAAAGGAAATTTCCGTATCTTCACCTACAGATCTGAGCACTCTTAAGATTTGAATCATTGAAGTTCGCAAGGAGTAAGACATTATACATGCATCTCGTCCCCTGGACGCCTTGTTTGTATGATAATATCGTTATTATTTCTCCTTATAAAATCTAGTGGAAATGTCCTTTCTTTACAAGAGATAAAGCTAAGGCACATAAATCACTTATGTTTTTCTTTATGAAATTATCAGCTTCACCAATAATTCGTCTGAAAATTTGCCAAGAATAACACAATTCATTTATTCCTCTTAAGTTTTTTTTTCTCCATCTTTTGTTAGCAAATTATCGTGATAAAAGGAAAATATTTACTAACAAAAAGGATTACTCCCTTCATTTAAATATTTCTGCCAGACAGATAAAGAATAACATACACAGTAAATTAGCTTTTCCTTATTCCTAGAATTCAAGGGTAAAAACACATTATTGGTCTACAAGCATGAAAAATATTTATCTTGTAGAAATATTTGTGAGAGATTTTAACGTCTGCAGAAAATAAGAGAAAAAATGTCTAGCTACTACTTGTGTACATCAAACTAAGAAAATGGTTGTTTATCACGCCAGGCCGTATGTGCATCACAGGCAGCATTTCGCTTTAATATGTCTTGTACAAGAATGGAATTCAATCGCATTGATATATGTGTAAAAAAAAAAAAAGTGTCTTTTTAAATGAAATATGCGGAGATAACGAACAGTATTCAAACTCAAAGTCCATTAAACATAACAAAAAAGGAACGGATCAAATACGGACCTCCAAAAATTAGAAGTGGGATCAAGTGCCATGGAGGAGTGAGCATCCCCTGCTGACCAGTCACTACCGCCGTGTGCTCCTTTGCATGTTCTGAGAAAACAGAAAACTCCATGGACAACTCAGTGTGTAAATAATGGTCTACTGATCAATATGAAGAAAAACAATGTTTGACTTAATGATAAATTGTATTTTAGAAATACTCCACTATAAATGTTAACGCTGAATTGAATAATATTTAAATATTCAGAATATCCATCTTATAATGCGCTTTCTAAAGATGGGGATTTAATAGTGTGAAATAGAACAAGTTATTTTTTAAAACATACCCCAATATCAGTAATAAACTTTGTATGTTTGTATGTCTACCAGAAAAGAACGCATGTTCAATGCTTAGGTATTCCGAAATTAACATGTGACAAACACGTACGTACACAGAATGGTCTCAACTTAGTCGCGTATATTATCTCCAATTCAGCAATAATAGGACGAAATAGATCGAAGAATTTGTCTTTCATATCCGGAATGAGCCAAGGAAAGCACATATAAAGAATTAAATATCCAATCTCTATTCGAAGAATAGTGCTTAAAACGCCACTAGTTCCCGTAAATACGGGATGGGGACACATGCCTTATGACTTTAAAAATTTATAACCCATACTCTGTATTTACCGTAGTTGCTGTGCTTAAATAATGTTTGATTCGATATTTTGCCTTCATTTATGACAATTATGCATGATATATCATGTAAAATTATATGTGGCTCTCATTTTGTCGTATGATAATAAAACCTTATCTTCTACGTTTATGAATGGATTTCTATTTTCTTTCAGAATATGTTGATAGGCTAACACTTACACATATCATGAGGTGTATGCTATAAAGTTACGAATAATAAATGAACTGGTTAACAATGCTGAGCTTTTGAAATCTAATCGGACGATTTGCTGTTTAATGATTTTAATGACTTTGTTTATTTGTGGGAATCTTTTTCTATCTTTCATGTTTACAAATCTTTAAAAATGCAATTATAGTAATTGCTTACATTACACATCAGTCGCCGTCGGAATACAGTGTATGGAAAATGAAAACAATATTCAAGAAGTTGATTCAATACGCAAGAGAATGCTCAACATATGAACAATAAAACGAAGCAAGCTATTGACAGGCAAGTTGATGAACCAAAGAATAAAAACAATTTTGTTTAAAGTCAGAATTTGCCACGTTCTTTGTTTGATACAATGACATTGTCAGCAAATGCAATCTATCATTTAGTCAAATATTTTTCATACTTATTTTAATGCCATCATTTACACTGAATTGTCGACGAATATTTCAGTTTACCGAGTTATGACAAGGAGCAAAAGGTCGTTTAGACCGGTAAACAGGGGATGCTTATTCTTCCATGGCACCTGATCCATTATCTGATGTTTTAAGAGAACAATGTTTGCCCGGCTTCTGATTTGTATTGTTTTAGTGAATTTGAGCCTCTTTACTATTTGCTATGTTATATTTCACCTTTATCAAGTTCTTTGACGCATGCATCACGTGATAAATCACGTGATTAATTGTTCCACTCACCTTTCCATCCTCCCCAGGTGTTTGTTGTAACGTGACGGAACTTGGAGTGTTTGGTGGAATCTATATAATGAAGATAATCAGTGAAGAACAATTATAAGATAAAATTTGTGACCTTCAATGGAACTATAAAATCTTCCCAATTGTAATTTCTACAAGTGAAAACCGTGTTGAGAAAAATTAACCGGTTTTTGATGTTTCACTATGGTAATTGCTATCTGACATAAATCACATGTAAAATGAATGCTTTAAAGTAATAATTCAGAGCTGGCAGACAATGAATCTCTTATAGAAATCATTGTGATTTCTTTGATGTTCAGTAATTGGTTTTTATTAAATGTGAAACCTGTCTAATCAGACATGCTGTGGGAGATAAATTTTGTGTTATAATGGTCAAAGTGTCGGATAAAGCATTGTTATTACATAAGAAATTATATAGTTAGTTGGAAATGAAAATAGGGTTAGAATTTACAGTGAACGGATTACATAGATGCCGGATAAATCCGGTGTCACTGTAAATTAAAATGTCTTACATGAATAATTATTTCACAAAATGAAGTAACGAACTTAACTCTTATTACTCTTATTTGAAGCATTTTCTTGCAAAATATGATAAATTGCACGACTTTAGTTATCAGACATTTGGGTCATCAGAACCGACTTCATCTGATCTGATTTTCTGACTGCGTCTGGCTCATTAAACTATTGGGGCTTATTTTCAATCGCGTGTTAAGGTATGAAACAGCTGTGTCTTTTGCAAATTACAGCATTATAAAATTATTATCAGTTTTAATTAAAATGATGCAGAGCAGAATTTCAGATATGTTTCATGCGATATCAACATTACATATCCGTCTACCATGTCTTAATTACCTCAAAGAAGAAAGGATATGCATTTGGTCCAAGTATGGAAAGAAGCCTTTCCTGCAATGCCGTCAGCGGCTTCTGTTGTTCAACGACCGGAGGATAGACCTGGATAGTGGCGATAAATAAGTCCTTCCGGAAGGATAGGCCAATAATATCCAGGTCTTCTCTGCCGTATCGAAAAGCCCCGAGAACTTGAACGAATACCTTCTTCTGGTCTTTAACACATTCTGGGTCCACTAAAACTACGCCGTCTAAATATAAAATTGAGGTCAATGTTAAGAAATGGCCATATGAAAATCAAACTATATTTATTGAGGTATTATGTATGAAATAAGGTAGTAAATGTTTTCAAAGGGCTTCATCTTGCTATATTTTTATAAACAGAGAAAAATGTAACTTACAAAAAAATGTAAATTGGCCGTATAAAACGCGCAACATAGAAAATATATTGACTTTTCCTTGAATACTTACCTTATATTATTTCATGCAAATCCTATCATATCTGTGACACATATGTTGTTCATATGTCAAATTTTCAAATATACGGGGTTTTAAAACATTTCAGCCATAAATTTCAAATTATCAAACTCAACTTTCGGCACAACCGTATGTTTTTGTTCGATTATACGGCAACATACTGTAGACTTTGAAGAACGTTGCCATTTAATGAAGGTAATGAATCCAGTAAATTAACTTTTTTATGAACGTGTTTTTAACAACCCCTTCATGAACCAAGACGTTAATAACCCGTCATGAAAACTGCCATTAACAAAACTGCCATCAGCATTTTCATAAGCAACTTTTCCTGAACCGATTTTTTCATAAACCTTGCCATGAACTGCGTGTCACAAATCTTGTCATAAATAAACAAAATTTGAAATAAAATTGTTACTAACCCACGTATGAATGTTACCAATAAATCATCGTCATATATGCTACATAAAGCTATATGATCAAAAATATTAGCTTTAAGATGAACAAATTAAAAAGAAATATGAGCTTTAAGATGAACAAATCAAAAAAAAGAAGCGAACTGGCTTTAAATCAAAAACATACAAGAACTTATGACTGTCTATCCTTTTATGTGTAATCCGTATGGCTGCTTTTCTACAGTTAATCTATTTTTCGTATTATCCCGAATTACAAAATCCAGATTGGGTTACAGAAATATTATTGAATTTTTAAGAAAAATTGAAAACACTTTATTTTTTTTTTATCATAATCTTTTCCAACTCTTCAGCGTGTTTTTATGTTTTCCCAAATACGCATTGATGTTAAAAATTGCCCTTTGCATTTTTTTTTAATTTCCGTCATTACAGAAACTCCGCCACATTTTTTTCATATCATTGTGACAAACCTTTTTTCGTAACAAAATCAATGTCATTTGAATGAATATCTTAGTTCGCAGTTTTATCATTTTCTTGATATCCTTCATCTCTACCCTCGACTCTTTACTTCATCATGATAGTCTAATCCATATTGACAAGGAATATGATGTCAAATTTCCGCAAAAAACGCACTTCATACACATGGTTTTTTTATCCTCTTGTCAAATTGTGGAGTCATGTCTTCTCTAGGGTTTGTTACCAAACAATAAAAGAATTTAGAATGATGTTATCACATCCAGGAGATGGTTTTTATATTTACAGAATTCCTGCTAGATTTTTTTAAAATGAAATGTGCTTTGAGAATGAGTTAACTATACTCAGTTTTTAAAATCACCTTCTAGATTTTTTTTTATTGAGTTACGACACGTATTTTCTGGCAAACCCCTTTAATGCCATCGTAAAGTACCCTTTTTTCAATAATGCAAGTATTTAAAACACTTTTAAAAACATGTCCTCATTTAAAGCAAAAAATATCGAATTAGAAGGAATGTTATAAGCATGAAATAAATTGTTATTGTTTTAAACATATCTCATTGATAATGTATATTACAGGTTCCAAAAAAAGCAGACTTAATTACTTTAAGATATGTTATCCTTAAACAAAATGCACTTTTGAAACATTCTCTTAGGACATTTCAAAGTATTGCCATGAAATTTCTGATTAAGATTGCTCATACATAATAAAGATAGAATCTATAAGCCTTAATGTAAACAGTGTTATACTTTTAGCTATTACAATCTATTCTATTGCCAGTAATTGCAAAGCGATGTATTGGAATAATTTCAAGCTGATCTTGGAATTATCAGACTTAAAGGGGCTACAAAGACTGGTACTCGCAGCAATATTAAATGCACACCACACATAAAACTGTCCAGATAATATCTTGATGTTAACGTTTATTGCCACTCACTAAAACATGTCAATACAAATATATATACTACCAAAACACTTCACATCGTCGATCAGCGCTAAATAAATCCTCTTTAGTGCTAAATGTTTTCAAATAAATAGTATTGTTACAAAGAGAAGTTACAGTTCATTTCAGCATTTAACATTCATTAATGAATGACACTATAGTAAATGCAAATGTGTTTATACTTCAGTCACAATAAACAGAATTAATTGGCTTCACTTGATTTATATTTTCTTTCATTGTCTTGTATATACTAGTAAATTAATAATGAATGATGGTTCACTTCTTATCTACATCAGACATCAATACGATTTGAATGTTGAACCACATAAAAGTTTTGTTTGGCTAAGCCATGTACTTTTACAACACTAGAACATGTACTGGTTCTATACTAATGACTAATTCAAATCAAAGGAAACACTATGATGATGTAGAATGGTAATTTTATCACATGGCGTACATGAAAAACGAAATAAGTCGAAAGATATGCCGATATCTTTTTTTTCGTGGTTACTAAGAAAAACTTAAATAAACAAAAAGTCAAAGGTCCTGTGCTACAGCATAAGAAGTGGACAGGTGTAAATACAATATTGATTCTCAAGAACGCATAGAAAGAACTTTTAAAATTTTGAAACCAAAAAAAAAAAACGTTTTTGTCAGTAAACCTAAGTTCAAATCACGAGTTTTCGGCAATTGAACAATTTCTCAAAAAAGAAAAATAAAATTAATTTTTTGAGAACACGTAAAACTGCTTCTTCAGTAAAAAGAAAATTGGAAATGTTTATTTCTTGTGATTGGTCATTCAAAATTGTTTTACAAAAATTACTGTGATTTAAAACGTCAGTATTCAGAAGAAGTTAATATTGAAGGATGCTTGACTTTTTCATTAACAAAATCTATGTAGATTTTTCGAGGCCATGTCTTCCAAAAATCTTTTGAATTTATTATGGGCACTCATTGTCTTTCCTGAGTTATAGTTCATCTTTTAATTTTGTCTTTCCTGAGTTATAGTTGATCTTTTATTTTTTCAAATTCAGTCAAATGAGAATACTAATAGATAACACTTCATGATGACTCCTCGCTGCTCAAGTGCCAAGTATAGAACACAATTTGCAGCGTCTCCATATATTGATGACGTTGTTTAACGTCAATTAACTATTCCTATTTAATTTATATGTTGACAATGATATATCGATATATCACAACGACATATCACAGTGAATTCGAAATAAAAGACACCAATCAACAACAAAACTTCAGGCTTTCGTCAACTTTTCTTATTCATCATGTTAATGTAGTTATATTCCATAATCATGCACCTGCTTATTGAGTTATGTCTCCCATCTTAATCGAAACTAAGAAAATAGCATGATGTGAGTACGATCAATCTGTCAACCGACACAGGATACTCATAAATAAATAAGTTGATGCTTCAAGTCGAAGTTGATTTCAGCAGTCTTCTTTAATGTCATTTCGTAAATTCCTTTGTCCGTATTGTGACCATGTAGGCAATTACAACCTTTCATTAGGTTCGAACTTTGTCTGGAATATCTCATATAAATTTTCATACCCTTTCATTCTAAATTTGATTACAGATTATTCAGTCAACCTGATCAATATATGGCTCACGACCATTCTCAGCACCTGAAAATTACACGTGTCCGTGTTATTGTCCTGTTTATAACTTAATATTATTTGTATATTGTGTAGTTTTTTGATAACGATCACAACTAGTTATTTTCACCTATTATATAGGGATCGACCAAAATTATTTTTTCGAATTCGATGTAATGATTTTTCAAACACAATAGATTGAATTGTATTTACTTATAACATTAATTGTATACATTATAATGAATAAAATCGGCTGTAAAAAAAATTTGTTGAATTCGTAAAACGATTTCAAAGTTTATTCTAACGTATATTTTGTCAAAATTCTCTATCCCCTATCAGAAATAAAAGTTCTGATACTAATCTTGCAACTGAATTCAAATTGATATTGATTATTATTATTGTTAAATCAAATATATTCACGAAAATTTTGTGATATACAGTATATTATGATAAATTTAATCGGCTATAAAAAATTTGTTGAATTCATAAATAATTTGTAGTTTACATGCTAACGTATATTTTGTCTTTTCTCGTTGCGATTAGGCAAAAAACTGCATGGACTATTTCAAAGTTTGCAAAATTTAATTCAGGGCAATACTTTTTTGCAAATCTAATGGGACAAAATAACTGTATACAGTAGAATATAGGCAACTGTTGTTCTGGGGATAGGGGTAGGGCAAAACTATAGCCAATTTATATTTTACAAAGGAAACATCTTTAAAACTCTCCTTGTTCGAACACCAAGGTCATTGTTTTTCATATTTAAATGGAAGAATCTATAATCTATTCTGTTCCAATCATGAACCACATAGGATTAGGGGTGTGACCGCAAGGGACAATTTAATTTTTATATAAAAATACAAAGGACATATCTTTTTTTAAAAAAAATCTATCCAAGAACAGCAAATTCAAAATAATTTTGCAAACCACGGTTTACATGTAAGTCAGAAACCGGACTCTTCTAGACCCAATATATTTTGCTGATTTTTATCTTAGTTTATAAAATTTTAATTTCATATTGGTATCAACTTAAAAAATCTTACATGCTTCGATTTTAGAGAATTAAATGGTATCTTTTTCCGAATTGTGTTTCCATTTACTTAATGGAGAAATTAAATTTTGCTTGAATGTGAAGGAGTTATGAAATAGATTTAATACATGTAATCAGTTAATATCCAGTTTTCTTTGTTAGAAACAACTATAATTATTTTTCTTTCTGGAAAAAGAGTATTTTTCTTAAAATTTCTGAAAGCGAGTAAGAGAAACTAATTGAATTATTAACATTATCGGATCCTTTTCTACCTCACGGTAAACGAATCTGCAAAAAAGTTCTTGGAGAACGAGGGAAAGAAATGTGATATTGAAAAGATGTGCCTGTTAAACAATAATGTTCCTGCAAATGGAGAGGTTTGGAAATGCCAGGGTCATAATTCGAATAAACTTGAAGCTACGTTATGTCACAAAGCTTTTACTTAAGTAACTTGTAGTTCTTTAAAGTGTTTTAGAGGACACTTCCCATTTTTTTCTATTTTTTTATTTCATTTTATATGAACATGACTAGACCCTTCGAGTAAACAAACTGGAATCCTCTTTACCCAAGGTGCTTTCACTGCTTTGTTTCAAGTTTGGTTGAAATTGGTCCATTGTCTCTGGACAAAATTTGAAATCGTAAAAGGTTTACACCAGAGCAATGAAGACTATGGGCAACGCACAATATGTGATCATAAAAAGCTCACTTGAGACTTTGGATCAGGTGAGCTAAAATCGTAATGGATCTATCAAAGACCGCAAAGCTAGTTTATGAAAAAATTTATTTGTACTCACCAATAGGATCAACGTGGGTCAAGTAATCCAGAAAATCCCTCTTTCCAATAAAAACCGTGACCTGTTGAGAAAATTTTGTTAAACAGGGTTTACAACGCATAATTGAGATGCCTGATTTTTATTTTATTCTCAGAAGTTTTGGATTTCGTGAACGTCTCAAGAATCAAAAAAGTAATAAAACTATTTGGAAGAGAAGAATTATTCACCTTTCCATTCAAGCTACTCTTCTTGAAAATTCTGCAAAAGAAATAAAAAGACATTGATTGATCGAAGTAAATGATACAGTTAAAAGCTTTGCATAATTAATCACAGAACAACTTTCTTTTCAATTTATTTGACAGACGTTCATTTGTAATGATTTTAGTATCAGTATAAAATAACTCATAAGTGAAATTGTTTTGAGATAAACATCATGCAGTGAATGGATTTTGAAATAATTTCTCTTTTTCATATTTGAGGCGGTTGGTGGACAATCTGGTGATGGAAAGAATGTTCTTTTTAGTTTTTCATCTTAATTTTTGGATTTCCAACGTTTTGCATGAGCATCACTGAAGATACATAATTTGTTGAAATGCTCATGTCATCATAATCGGTACCGTATATGATTTACATCCAAAGAGCATTTTGTGGATTTTCTTTGATATTTTTGCTAAAATCTCATGCAGATTTTAACTATATGAAAACGAAGAGAAACTTTTCTTAAGATTTCATTTTTTTAGGATATTTTCTTAATCGGCAAAGGTCGTGTCATCTGATTTCACTACAAGCTTTTTTCTCTGTCATTAGAAAAAAAACATGATGTTTGACAGCCATAGAAAAATTACTGTATGACCTTGATTGACTATAAAATAAATTTCATATTTACAAACTAGAAAGACTTGAATTTGAAGTTTTTGTACTGCTTCTTTGCTTTTCGCGAATAAGGGAATAACTAAAATGCCATACTTCTGAATGATATTTTTAAAAGTGACAGGAAAATATTCCATACAGACCAAATAATTGTTAAAGATAAAATTAAATATTATTGAAACAAACATCAATAAAGAACCATGTGCGGTATTAACCAACATTTGCCCCCCAAAATCAAACTTTGATGGAGTAATATTTAATTAAGTCCTTAAACATGAAGTATATGCTGACTTCAAAGCACTGAATAATTTCATAAGTAATGATTTCATGTGTACGTAATTTCTCACAAATATGACGTAAATTTCAGTTTTTTATGGATTTTGCAGAAAAAAAGGAAATATTTCGTCGATATTTTAAATAAAAGTCACCGAGCGCATGTGTGTTCAGGATAAATATTTTGATATAATGTGTAGAATGATAATATCAATGAAATATGTCAATATTGTTCCTGAACACACATGCACTCTATAAATTTTAAAGCTTAAATTGTTGAAATTTTGTCCATTTTGTCCTCTTTCTGAAAAAGGATATAAAATCGGACTAGTTTGTGACGAAAAAAACAGAACTTGTGAATACACTGCTCTGGAACTATAATATTTTCTGTTAAAACTTATATTTCTCGTACAATTTATTGAATTCAGCACATTTCAGGAAGTTTTCAAAATTTGACTTTTGTGGGGGCAAATATATGCAATATACCGCATATAGTTCTTTCCAAAAAAGGGCGCCTCAACAAAATACTATAATCTTATGAAGAGGAGTTCTCGTAAATGTATATATCAATGTCTAGAGAAATATTTTATATAGAAAAATTCGGTAATTATTCGCAAGCATATGACATTATGACCAAAGTGATAGCAAGAGTAGTATGAATTATTCACGACTTGATTATAACCCTAAATTGAAAAATTGTGTAAGCCAAAATTATCATTTTATGGGTACAATTCCATTCCATCACAGAATGAGCTCGAAATGTAATTACATCAAAATGTGTAGATATGCTGGCAACGAACAACAATGTAATAGCTAGGTTTTTGTAAATTTCTGATGTATTTTACAAAATTAAATAAAACCACGCAACAATCTTCATTCCCTCCAAACGAATCAAAATAAGTTGTCTGCAAATTAAAACTTGATTAATTAATGGAATTTTCGAACACGCAAACTGTAATTGGAAACTTCAGCAAGTTGTTAATTATATATTTTTCTCTTTTTGGTGTTAAATACTACGACTACTACAAAGGAATTATGAAATATTGATATCCAAATGAAACCATTTTTAGAGGCAGAAAAGCTTCCAAAGACAGTATTATTATGTATAATTTGACAGAAATAGTGATATGAGTCAAAATCGTTAAAAGGATAAGTTGAATGATTAACTGATATGCAAAAAACTAAACAAACATCAATATAATTAATCTGGATTGTTACGTATTTCATTGGGACAGACTTTTCTTTTTTGTCCTTGTTTTTTGTATTTGACTTAGTTTAAAATTTATAACCTTGGTCATAATTTTTGAAGATTGATGTAAGGGCTTTAAATTATAACGTTTATTCCTTCTGGTTCCAACATACTGAATTTGAATTTTGACTTAATTTTGAAAAACTTCGACGGTCACCATGACTTTCGAACGGTTGTTGCTAGGGCTTTCATATCTTAAAATGTATATTCCTTGTGATAAGGATACCAAAATGTTTGACCCCATGATTTTGACCTTGCAGTGTGACATACTCCTAGCACTTTTTAAAAACTTTAACTTTTTCTTGTTGGTAGGCAAAATCTTTTCATATTTCATAATCTTGATCTAGCTGCTATACTGGGCATCAGTATTTCACAAACACATTTTATTTTTAAGGGAAAAATTGTTCTGCTAATGGTCATTTATTGTTTCAGGTTTTGTTTTTTTTTAACATATTGTATTGTTGATATAAAAATGAAATTGATCCCTGCCATCTATATTTTCTTCTCTTTTTTTTTTTTACAGAAATGCAAACCAAAAAGGATTAATACACACAATAGGATTTGCTTATTGTTTAAATCATTATGTTTTTACATCATTGTTTTACATCATCATTCTTAAAGTTTGAAATACTTGGAGAAAAGGTATCTAAACAGCAAACATTTCTAAACTCTGAACATGTTTTCCGATGATTTAAAATTGTCTTCCTTTTACATGGAATGAAGCAAATACATGAAGCTTAAAATACTGACACACAGCTATCAAAAATAAAGATTAAAAACGCAAGAAGGTTCATCGTTGAAGCATTGAGGTCTTACGACTTGTCAACTTTTGTCATATAGTACCTGATACCACCTCTGATTGTTTGGAGGTCCGTGTTTGCTATGCTCCAATTTTTGTATTGTTAAGTAGACTTTTGAGCTTGAATACTATTCCCTATCTTCATATATTTCATTGAAGGATAAATTGTTCGTAACTCGTTCTACATGTATTTATATCTCTACTGCATACATCAATTTTCGCTATTTAGTGATCTGCCACAAAAATAAAGTTATATTTGCCTAAAGTGCTTATACGTATTTGTAAACATCCGTAAAATGATGATTGAAAATCGTCACTAACTGCGCCTTTTTTCTCAATAAATAGAGGACTTGATTGAGACCAACTAATATGCATGAATTCCCATGTGTAATAATTTTTCTTGGAATTTCACAGAAAATACTATATGATACAAATTGCGTAAATCAACAAAGAAACCAGTTGGTGTTTGTTGGTTAAATAAAATAACTAATTCTGGGTCCTGTTAAAATAGAATTCAGAAAGAATTTCTTCTTTCCCTTGTGAGATTTTTTTTTTCGGAAAAAAATATCCAGCAAATCTTTCGAGAACATACAGTCTCTTGTTACGCTTTGAGAAAACCTTAACGATTTTATTTACATCTGATTATCATTCGAGAATTTCACCCCAATATAGTATATAGAAGAAAACACTTGCTGTGGCCTTCAACTCGACATTTAGATATATCGACGATGTATTGTCGATTAATAATGGTAACTTAAAATTCCATTCTTATGTCGATACGATATATCCCGGTGAGCTTGAGATAAAAGATACCACAGAGTCTGACACATCTCTTACATATTTGGATATTTTACTTGATAAAGATTTTAATGGTAATCTAACAACTAAGGTCTTTCCCTTACTTATGCAGCAATATACCTTTATCACCTACATACAGAGTTTAAGTATCTCAGTTGATTCGATACGCAAGAGCATGCTCTACGTATGAACAATTTCTAAAACGAGGTAAATTATTGACAAACAAGTTGATGAAAAAAACATCAGCAATTTCGTTTAAAGTAATAATTTCGTAAGTTCTATGGTCGATACAATGACCTTGTCAGCAAATACAATTTATCATTGAGTCAAATGCCGACTGATGTTTTGCATACTAATTGTGAATCCATTATTTAAACACTGAACTGACGACGATTTTTTCCGTTATTTCACGATCATGACAAGGAACACATGGCGGTTGTGACCGGTCAGCAGGGGATGCTCACTTCTCCATTGCAATTGATCCCACCTTTGAGGTTTTGACGGTCCGTGTTTGCTATGCTCCTATTTTGTATTGTTTTATAGACTTTTTATCTGGAATATTGTTCCTTATCTCCATATGTTTCATTCAGTAAAAAAATATATACGATTGATTGATTGGTTGTATGTTGATTTACGCCCCATTCGATATTTTTTTCCACTCATATAGAGACGTAATTACAGTATATACCAGTGAAGAGTTTCAGATTTTGACCTTTACTCGGCACTCGAGGGCCATTGAGCAGTGAGGGATCTTTATCGTGCCGACGCCTGCCGTGACACAGAAGCTCTGTTTTTCAGGTCTCATTCGAATGACCCGCAACTTTCACTTCAATTGCCTAGCGCCTTACAAAGGAACAGTTGCTACCCTTATTTTATCGACTTAGGTCGATTCGAACTCACGACTCCCCATCACGAAGCGAGTGCTCTACCGACCTTTCACCAAACGAAGTGTATAAACATGTTAAAAGTCCATTGAAATAATACTTATTGGAAGCAAGGCAGAAACGGATCTCTACAAACGTCAAAGGTGGGATCATGTGCAATAAAAGCTGTGTGTCAGACTACAATTTGATTAAAATATTTATGAGCTACAATAATCATACCTTATTCAATGATGCTTTGTCATACATCTTACTGGAGGACGCAACACACATTTACACTTATCAATACAAATTCTATAGAAAAATATAATTCCATAACAAATATTGTAATCCATTACCCAAAAAAATGGACATCTTGAAACGTTCATACGGAGTGCGTTATGAAATTGAATTATGACAAGGATTTTTTATACATCTCTACAATGCTCACCAGGATTAAAACGGCAATCAAAGGGAATTCAACGTTGGTGTGCTGGTTTCACGGACAAGCAAAAAAGACCATAATTAGGAAACCAGTAAAATCTTTCGATTGTTGAAGAAGAGGAAAGAATAAAGATAACTTTCATAGGTAATTTTTAGTCAAAAAGAAAGAGAAAGCATAATTATATATTATGTTTACTATAACTGAAGTCTTCAGATGCAGATAGTCTGGAAATTATGTAACAACCAAACCACTCATGGACAAATTAGTTTTAAAAGAAATAAAAAAGGAGACAACCTCAATAATGACCAAATTAACTTCCCCAAATGTTTCCAGTTAATGTCACTCTCGGGAAACTTGGAATGGAAAGCCAGCCTTACTTGCACGTCATAAAACACGTTCGTCTCTGAATTGCTAACTTAAACAAACTTAACTAAGTCTTGTATTTTAAAGAAATATTTTTTTTAACTGAAAAAGGAAGTACACAAATTGCTGCTATGTGAAAAAACAAACTATGCTGAACTGGAATGCTACATTTTTAAGGCAAGATAGAATGATTGATTACATGTTGTTTTAAGTCACTTTGGAGAATTTTTGCACTCATATCATGACGTGACAATAATTATTTTGATGAAGAGCTTCAAATTTAGAGCCATATACATGTACTCCACACTCAAGGCCTTTGAGCATTGAGAATTCTTTATCGTGACAACACAAGAGACATGCTAGCTTTAATCAAAAGTACGGATAATATATTCGTTTTGAAGAAGTATATTGTTGACAACTAGAAAGACTGTATTATAGGAAATTTGAGACTGGTCAACATATAAAAAATTTGAAGCCTTTTATGAGAACTTAGACAACTCTTTCTCTGTCAACATGGAATCTATAATTACGATTGTTATGTTTCAATGCTAAAATCATAAATCGACCATTAATATCATTATTCTCTTAAAAGGGGTTTGGGCAATTTATATTGGAATTTTTAAAAATTATTAAAGATTTTCAGATAAAATTAAGATTTTTTAACATCATCTGTTATTTTAAAAAATGAAGTGTAGAGAGAAATTTCAAGTTCATTATACAAAAAATTATACAGTTATTACTGACCGATGTGGTGCATTTCCAAAATCCATAAATGGGTCATAAAATTATTTTTCCCTTCATATGATAAATTATGTATTGTCATTGCAAAGTTTTCACGACTGGAGTACGAAGAATCAATATTGCCTCTAAAAATTCATATTTAGTGTCGGATAATTCGATTTGTCATTTACGATTTCTAACATAAACAGGGCTTGATAAAGTTTCGAAACAATACATCACCTATCTCTGAAAATATAGTTAATCGGGAAGACACTTAAGTCATTTCTAGTTCATTCCCATTTAAATGCCATTGTCAGACCAACGAAAAACCTGCACAAGTATTAAATAAATTGAATTTGTCCTCTAGCGTTTCTTTGTAATTGCTAAGCATTGAAAAAAAACGTTTCTTTTTCTTCCATGTAACAGTTTGTATGTTTTAGGACAAGACCCAGTTGTGGAGATAATGCTTTTTGCAAATTGTTTTTAACGCGTTTAATGGGAACGTTTTTCGTTGTCGTCGTATAGCTATTAATGAGATGTCACACGTCAAAAGCGTTAGTTTATATTTTATTTATATGTATTCTTGCTGTGTAAAACACCAATCTTTCTCTTTCCTCATTCAATCAAGAAAAACTCAACGTGTTTTCATTTAGTAATGCTTTTTAAGTTTGATGTTTCATCTGTGTAATGCATTTCAATTCTCAAATTGTTGTGATTATTTGACAATTTGACAAAATGATACTTTGCAGGTCAATATTAGTCCATTTTAACTGACATTTCTTTCTTGGTGATTTGAGGCAACTGCACCAAATCTCTCAAAGACAGACATGTTTAAAGCTAAATACGACATTGTCAGTGACATTAACACAGAAGTCACATTAGATAGAATGGTAGAGACAGGTTGACAAGTCTCGGTCATATGGAGCCTAATTAAACCCGTTTCAATCAATCTGACACTGACTTCAACCTCTGTTAACTACATCTTGGAATATTTCATCACGTGACAACATTTACAACTTCTCACAAAATCCGCATTAGCGTACAGTTTTCAAAAACGCAAATAAGGTTAATTGCGCTGCGTAATGAAATATTATTGTTAAATAATTTTAATGCCATCATTGTACTGAAGGATCTATCTTAAGTATAGGTCAGCCAGCCACGTAGAATTGAGCAGCATTTGCGAGTTTACATAAATTGACCAGAGTCAGGACCAACAAAGATACATGTACCAATAGTTTCCTGTTTTTTTTAAATATACATGTTTACCATGAAAACTTTAGAACTTACATACCTGGTTGCATTGCGCATGGCTTGATTTTGCTCATAGTCATTTTCATCTTCTCTGAAATTGGTTGTCTCTTATTTGAATAAACTATTGTCTGTCAGCATCTCAATTGTTTTTATACTTAAACACTTTACGGAGATAAAATGAAAAGTTGAAGCAAAAAGAGTAAAACTGCCACATAAAATAAAGCTTTGTAAAAATACACGCGCTAAAGTCAACATTAGATTTTAAGCTTAAAATTAAAAGGGATGTAGGGAAAGGTAAAACTGTTTAAATGAAATTAAAATTGAAAAATAAATAAAAAAATACTTACCTGCAAACGTCTAAAGGATCTTTACTCTCCTCTCTGGGCATGTCTTAACAGTTTCACAAAAAATAGCCAACTGGGATTCAAAAAGGCAGCCCAAGCCAAAAAATGCACAATAAATAGTGGATTCTAGATTCAATCAAATCAGAAGTTGTTGATTACCAAGTAAGTACAGATAATGCCATCCGAGCTAATTATTAACACAATTTCTCAGATGCCATCACTTAAGACAGTGGTGCTAGAACTCAGCATTGTCACGCATCTGATGGTAAAAATATTGGGATTTTCTCTTTATACGAGTCGGAACGATCGAATGCCAATTAAGAAATAGCCTCAGATCAGAAACAGATCAATGATGGCTCTGATTTTTCTATCTATAAAGTATAATATTTTAGATGATTAGGAAATTAATTACTACTTAATTTTATATGTACATTTACTATATTCGGATTTAAAATACATTTGTTAATTAGGAACAAAAGAACTCAGCCTGTATCCATCCATTTGAAAAGAAAAAGTAATTTCAGAATTTCAACTCCTAATTTTGATAATCAAAATTCCATATACTTTTCAGCAAATTAAGACAGCATGAGAATACCTTCTAATATCTTTGGTAAACTATAAATGCGCTTTAAAATATAACATATACTTTAACGAAGGTTACATAATTTAACGATTTAGAAAAAGTAGATGTCGATGGATTTAAAAGAAATAAGAAAATATATCAGTCACAAGAAAGTTGTTCATAAAAGTTAAAAAATATATATGCAAATTCTATCAGTAAAAGAATAAATGTTGCTTGGTAAACTTGCCCTAACTCTAATTGTCTTACTGTTAAGTTGTTCGTTTTATTTCTTCCACATCAAAATGAAGGCAGTTGACTCAAATTTAATCCTTTGGAAGACAGCTTCCTTTGGCGGCTTGTAGGAATTCTTACAGTATATTGTAATGTGATACACTGACTGAATTGGCAATTAGTAGGTGTCTTCAGGCAGGTATTCTGTATATATGTATCATATACACTGGTCACTACCATTGATTTTCAGAAGAACGGACGTGGAATCAGGATATATATATCAGAAGACGTCATCTTGCATGGAATGAAATTTTAAAACATTTTTTAATAAAATTCAAATCTGCAATGAAATTTTTTTATGTACATTTCTCATTTCACCAATTTACAATTTTTAATTGTTAATCAAGAAAACAAAAGCAGTCATTTACAATTAAAAGAGTAACTTGCTGAAAGACACATTTCATAATATTTAAATTTTTATATACTTATATAGAGGTACGCCATTCATTTTGTACTTAGACATCTAGACCAATTAATTGCATCCCTCTCTCCCCCGGCTCTGTTCTTTACACATTCAGTGATTGATCTGTGGCTCCCCCGTCGTATCCCCTTCATTGTCTTCCAACCTTGTACTGTCCATTTGAGGGTTGTTCTAATAATTGTGTTCGAGTATATTCTAATGACTTCCCTCTGCGAACTCCACCATCTTCATTAAACTAAGAATTTCCTTCAGCTACATGTAGCTTTTTATTGTGAAACGTTAACATCAAGATAACATTGCCATTGAATTTAAGCATATTTTTGCAGACAAAAGTTTAAGATAACGAGCATACGTTTGTTTATGTCATTTGTCTTCACTCTGTCCCTCTAAATAACAAGATGTGTTTGTGAAATACTGATGCCCCCGTATGGCAACATAGCGAAGATTAAACTTTCTCAAATGCAAATCAAATATGTTGGTACCCAAAGTAAGGTCTCACAGGAAATACAATTAAGAAAATTAATATGAAAGCCCTAGAGCCGTCTGTTCAAAAGTTGTCGCCAAGGTTAAAGTTTTTAAAAGAAGGTCAAACTCCAAGGTCAAGGTCAAAGGGTCAAAGGTTTGGTTTCTAAGGAAGGTCTTGTCACGATGATTACATATTTGAAGTATGAACGCCCTAGCTTTAACCGATCAAAAGTTATGGCCAGTGTTGAAGTTTTTAAAAGTCGGTCAAACTCCTAGGTCAAGGTCAACGGGTCAAAGTTGTTGGTATCATAGGAAAGGTATTGTTACAAGGATTACATATGTCAAGTATGAAAACTTCATTCACGGAGCATAAAAAGATGCTTACTCTTCTTTCTTTCACGATTGTGTTTCTTCTAATACAAAAACGATAACCACTTTAATGTACGTAGTGATTTCTCTATGGTCGATTTGTTATAGAAAAATTCACTTTTACATTGCATTTTGGATACGATATCCATAATAGTCATAAAACAGACAAAAATAGACAAAAAACTTATAATACACATGCTCAGTAACATTGATAATGGTAGATTTGGCCTTTTTACAACCTTACCATTCTAGACATACTTTTATCGTTATGGATGAAAAGTCAATGGAGCCTTCTTCCTCTTACTATAGCATAATGTTATTCAACATATTGATATATGGACATTGAAAACTGTCTCATCAGACACCTGTGCAATACGTCACACTGTGAATGCCGACGTTAATTTTTTTTCCTATTTTACTATTTTTTCCAAATTTTTCACTCTGTGCAATCCGACATCCTGTCTATTCCGACACAAAATTCGGATACCATAGACCCTTTCACGTTAACTGCGGTACTACTTTTTTGCAGGGCAAAATGACAAAATTTGGTGAAATATGACGTAAAAGTAATTGTTTTATATATGTAATTTTTAAAATTATCCATCAACAAAAACTTCGCCAAATGTTATTAATTTGCCCTGCAAAAGAATAGTACCGAAGTTATCGTGAAGGGGCGACTAATTGCATGTCGGATTAGACAGGTATAAATAATTATCTTCCAAACAATTTAAGTGGTATAAACTGATTTTGATATACTTTTATGCAAAACAGAGGGTTCATGACAGCTATCAAGAGCCCATATTGACTGTCAGCTAGGAAAGAGCTTTTTAAAATCTCATGCTTTTTAAGGTTTAAGACTTAAGCCAAAAGTTAAACTCGATGATGAGGTTAAATTGAGATACGCGTTTCGCGCCTCGTACGCAGAAGCAATTTCAACCTGACTATAAAAGAACTTAATGAATTTCATTAGCTATGTTCCTATCTCCGTCACTTAAAGGTCTTCGTAATCAACACTAAAAGTCTTCTCCTTCATTGAATGGCAAAAACTGTTGGATGAATATAAGCTTGACATTTGTCTATCATCAGAACTTCTGATTTGAACTGTCTGTTCACCCTGAAGTTCCCAACATAAAAGAACATATAATATTGTTTAGCAAACTGGTTCAAAACGTAAATTATGGCTCAGTAAGTTATTAAGAAAACAATAGAAAAATGATTATAAATAAATATGACTCTGTCACATATAGTTTCTCCGTCTCTTTGTTTTGCTTTTTTTACACTGTTAAGGCTCTTGACTTTTTCTCAGAACCACTGGACCAATTTCAACTATAACAACATAAAAATCCTTAACAAAAGGGCATTCAAAAATGTTCAAATGAAGAGCCAGATCCTCTTTCGAGTGGGTTTTTAAAGTGTCAAGATTCGATTTATCTGACATATATGTTTCATGTTTGGGTACTAGATAAAAGACACTAATATATTCGACCAACACAACATTGATGACTTGAGCCTTTACAGTGTCAACGACCCAACGTCCCTTATTTTCGTAGCAATATACAATGTATCATAATCATCTACATAAAGAAATTATTTCTGCACATTATTTCGCTACGCAGGAGCATGCTCTATGTACAAAAATTTCTAAAACAAAGAAAATTTTTGACAAATAATTTAAGTTGATAAAACAAGAATATCAAAAGTCTGGTTTAAGTCAACAAATCGAAAATTCTATGCTTGATATAATTACATTGTCGTCATGCATTTACAGTGTATTAATTAGGCCAGTATTGATTGAAGTTTTTCATACAAATTGTTAGCACAATATTTGGCTGAGCACAATTGGATTTCGGCATGACAAGAAGCACACAGCAGGTGTGACGAGTCGACAGACAATGCTTATTCCTCCAAGACAACTGATCAGACGTTTGATATTTTTCGGGGTCCGCGTTTCCGCTGCCCCTAAATTTTTGTTTTTTCAAAAGACTTTTGAGCTTCATATTTCACTCAGTGATATTGCATATTTATTAACAAGGTCATTATAGCTACTATAGGAATTACAAAATGCTGACTTGAAACGAGGAAGGTGTAAGCATTGTAACATCAACTTATCTTTCAGTAGCCTGCCTCATGCTAGATTGTGTGCGTAATTATTAAAACCAGTCAATTAATCAAAGCTATGCCATCAAAAATTTTCTTTTACTTTGGAAAGAAATATTCTATGTCTAAAGGAATTAAATGATTATGAAAAATATGGTATACAAAATTTTATATGTAAATTCAAATTTCTCCGAATGCCATCAAGATCTTATTGGGTTTTTTTCACCAGATTTATAATATCATATGGTTGTTTTAAACATGCACAGTTTCTTTATCTGAAGAAATTATTGAATTTGGGGAAAAAGAGCATCAAATTTCAGGCCAGGCAGGACGGTGTTCATTATAGATAATTATGCATCGCGTTGTATATATTTTATAGTTTTTCTTATCTCTTCATTACGCAATTCAGGAATGGTCACCATCGATCGTCATTGGGAGACTGTTATCACCTCATGTGCAAGACCCCTTTCTATCCCCAAATAAAATGAAAGTGTCCAGAGACCCCTTTTGTCTGCAAAACAGTCTTTTATTCATGACTTTATTGACTTACATTTTTGGTTGAACTGATCAAGTTCAACTGATAAGAAAACAGGGATCGAAACAATTGCTGAGTTCAATCCTGTCCTCTAACATTAAGGAAAAGGGTTTCTTGAAAATGATAATTAGATTTGGTGTGAAGAAATAAATTGGCGGACCAATTGTCAAAGGTAAAAAAAAATGAAGATTTGTATCCTTAACTCCGATTCATGCCAAGAACATCTGTTGTTTTGAACATATTTTATTGACAAAATGTCAAAGGGATTGGACACAAGTTCCAAAAACTTAGATAGTCCTCTCCCATCTGTCTGGTCTAGCTTATGAGTGAACTCAATAAAAGTGCAATTAACGCTAATTTCTGATATTCTCCAGTTGATAGCAAAGTTTGAGAATTGGATCAATGTACCTGCAATGGAATTCAACTTGATGATCAAAGTTTAAGGTCAAAGATGAAATTCAACGAAAGTTTTTTTTTTTTATTAAAATGTCAATGTAGTCTGGTCCT